GAAGACCGCTTCTTCCTCCTTTTGGCCAAAAGCAAGACGTTGCCGGGGGCCTTTGGAATGCCTCACTGAGGTGCCCCATGATGCTTGATGACAGGGATCTAAACTGAGGAGAAGGTGGAATGTCCCAGGCCAGCCTGGAGACCCTCCTTCGCCCTCTGTCCCTTAGGCACCCGTCCTCCCACTTAGCTTTTCCCACGAGGGTCCTTTCTCTCCCCAGGAATTGCTCTCACCAGTTTCTGGTGGGCTTTTGTCAGCCACCCAAGAGTCCCGGGCCTGTCTCCATTTCATGCAGGTTGTCCAAAGCAAGAGGGCCTTCCTAACAGTTCCTCTCCACTACAAAGCCCCGGGACTCCCTTTGGGAGACACAGATGGCCCAGAGGTGGTCCAAGGGGAACCTGCAGGTGTCTGGCAGGGCCCACCTCCAGTGAAATGCCTGCAGACATTTTGATGAAGGGTGGGGGGGCATATCATAATATGGGAGAGGCCGGCCAATCCTCACGGAATGGCCAAACCAGTTACTTTTGCTTCTAAATATCGCTGGCCTCCTATGTCTTAGGACAGACATGACCCTCTTCGTGTCCCTGTTGCCTGGGAGTCGCCCTATGTGAGAAAGCGGAATGGATCCCTCTCTTCCTGGAAGAGGAAGCCCCCCTTCCCCACACGTCCCTGGGGACAAGCCCATAGCCAGGATGCCTCCCTTCCCCCTTCGCCTACCCCCCTCCACCCTGGTGAGGAGCACTGCAGAGGCTTCGTAGGGCGCAGGCTCGCCTGTCAAGTGGACGGCGGCTGCCGCTCAGTCGGGGAAGGCCCAGGGGCACGAGGCCACGATGTTCCCAACAAAGTAGGGCTGTGTTCTCATGCTGCTGTTGTCGCCCTCTTCTCTTTTCTCCCGCTCAGCTTTTTGATCACATCAGCGTGGCCGAGATCACACTGCAGAATACGGGGAAGGTTGGATTTGAGTACTCTGTCCTTGATGCCATCCTGGCTTCGGCTGACAACCCTCCCCCTGGGGTGCCCCTGGCTCTGCCTGTCAGTGTGAGTAAGAAAGGGTACAAGCAGGGAGGCTGTGGTGCTTATTGCATGTGGGGCTTTGTTTTGTGCAGGATAAGCGACAGAAGGACAGCTCTTATAAACACAGCACGGCCATCTAGAGGCCCCCAAAGAGCCTCTGAGCTGGGGTATCCATAGCCTCATGTCTCCCCGTGAGCAGCCTCAAGAAAGCAAGGAGGACCGAGGTGGATCAGGTCCCTTCCCTTCCTCCCTTTCCCTGCTAGCTGTCTCTAGCAAGAGAGCACTGCTCAGCACACAAACCTCCAGAGCTGGTGGGAGATCATGTGTGCAAAACTCAGGGAAGAGACAGAGGGTTATAAATAGCACCTCGTGAGGGCTGAACATGCATCATCCCTGTTGGAGAGACTGAGTGAGGCAGCCTTCCGTGTCATCGTCCTGGAGAGCAATCGGAAGAGCAGCTATTGCTGTGACACTCCCACGGGGCCGGCCGGCCCTTAAGGATGCTCCTCATCTGATGCCTGTTTATGCCCTCAGTAATCAATGGTGGCCCAAAGGGATCTTTGCTGGCTGGGGAGCATTTAGCTCTTGCTTCTTCACCAGCTCAGAACTTAGCTGGTTCTTTGTCCTGTTGTGGGACTCAGGAGCATCAGTCAGAGGAGAAAGTCACTTGGGTTTCATTATCGGATGCTTTAAAAAGAGAGAGAGAGAGAGAGAGAGAGAGAGTTCTGCCCCAAACTGGAAAAAGTGGCCAGGCCTTGGTCAGCAGGAAGGCCACCCGTCCCATCTCTGATGGTTCTCTGATGGTTTTCCCCCCCTCTGTGACTGAAGTCACTTCAGCTCAAGCTAACACAGGTTCCACAGCTGGTCTAGCACACACAACTAACCAGATCAACCGTGTTCCAGATGAGAATATTTAAGTTGTGTGCCTTCCATGTGAGGTACCTATACTAAGACGGCCATTTAAGCAGTGGATGGTGCAGGCCGACAAACCAACAGCTCTCTTATCTGGGTCAAGAGTACGTGGCATCAAACAAAAAAACAAACAAAATCCTGAATATCTAACACATGCTTACTGCTTTTGCATTGTTCAATGTTAATTCTACAGCCAGAGATATCTGAAATGTGAAGGGGAGGCCAGAGCGATTTTAAGGAGAAAAGAATGGCCTTAAGAATAATAATAATAAAGCCTCCTTTCAGGACGACACCCTTCGCCTCAGAGGGCCTGGTGTCCATTAAAGGTGTCGTTTGGCAAGTGGCTGGTTGCTCAGCCTTCTCTCTGTGATGCTGCTTGTTTGAACAGCAAACACTCTTGCCTGTTCCTCCTTCTGCCTCTTGTAGAGTTATATTGAATCAGGCAAGGAGCACGTGCTCAAGGTCTATTACTTGCCCGGAGTCCCTGAGGTCTTCCGCAGAACTTTCCAGATCCAGGTAGCACACCTGGAGCCGGACACCGTGACCCTGAAAGGAGAGGGAATCTTCCCCAGAATCTGCCTGGACCTGCCCAGGAACATCAGAGGTAAGGGCGTCCGCCTCAGTGCCTGTCCCACGTGGGCTGGAATTCCACAGCACGGAGCTACTCAGTTCTTGGCAATCCGTCCCTCTCGCCCGAACTCTGTCCGTAGGGAACGAGCGGTACAGCACCTTTCTGAGAGAAGCCAAGCAGCGACTGGAACAGGAATCCCACAAGGACTCCAGCAGCAACTCTGAAGCAGTGGCCAACGAAGCTCCTCCGGAGGAATCTCTCACCACTGTAAGAGGATGTTGCCCTCCGGCTGGAGGGTCAGTCGGGTGGGGAAGTGTGCCCTCAAAGGGGTGGCTGCCCGGGCGCAGGTCTGCGGGCAAGGCCTTGCAAAGATGGCGGGAGGGGTTGTGCGGCTGGGCCCATGAAAAGGAGTACGGGGCGCCCTCGCGGCAGGGAGGGAGGCAGGCTGGGCCCGTGTGGATGGGCAAAGGGGCAACCTCCGATATCTCAAGAGGAAAGAGCCACTGCAGCAAGTTGGGGCATGGGGCGTCCACAGTCCTGTGGGCGTGGGCAGCCCCGGGGGCAGCTGCGGTGCCGTGGAAGGGTGGGCAGAGTCCTCTGTGGCTTGGCTCATGCCTTTCTCGCTTCTTGAAGTTGGACACTCAGCTGCAGATGGAAGTGGAGAGGCTGCTGGTTCGAGATCATGCTCTGGAGCAGCAGAGGCTGCTGGCTGGAGACCCCTGTCAAGACCCTACCTCCAGCCAGCGCATGCGCCGGAAACTGGTCAAGTGAGTGCGGTCTTTGTCTTACAAGAGCCATAAACCCCAGGCTGCTAGAGGAGCCGGTAAAGGGTGCTCCCAGCATCTTGGAAGTAGTGGCCAGAGGGAGGAGGAATCTAGGGAAATGGCCAGCTCCGAAGCCCCACCCCCACCCCTCGGAGAAGTGGGTGGAGGAGATCTTTCGCAGCTAAAAGCTTTGTGGGTTGGACCTGGCACTCTTTGGCAGGCTGGTCTGCAGGCTGTGGGAAGGCAGGGCCACCGGTAAGCCCAGGAGCCAAACACAGGTAGAGGCAGCTTCTCCGGTTCTGCCTCTCTGGAGATGCATCCAAGTGTGTCTACCTTTGACCTACGATCCCTGGAGGAAGAGTCATTTCTGTGGCTGGCCAGAGGAAGAGGAGGAGGAGGAGGAGGCCACTTTCCTAGGCACTCCCCAGGCCATCCAGGTCTCAGGATCACTCAGCCAGAAGGCTGGTGTTTACCATTATACAATTCTAGAGGCATTTTCTTTTTCAGGGCACAACTGCCTGAGTACATCTTGGACTTTGGGTACATCATCCTGGGGAGCGTGCGGAATCACATTGTCAAAATCACCAACACCAGCCCATTCCCGGTGTCTTTCCATGCAGACACACGGAGCCTCCAGGATACAGGTAATGTGGGGCAGGCAGGAAGGGCCGAAAGGGAAGGAGGGAGGGATAGGCAGGTATTTATCCACACCCCTCAAGTCTTAAGGGGCGGTTCTGTTGCTGTTTGGAGTCAGGTTTCAGCACCGGATTGGATCGAGTGAAGAACCTTCCCTTCTGCGAGACGGAGACCTTTGAAGTGCTGTTTGATCCCCAGAGCGCCCACCGGCCCCTCGGGGAGGTGGACGTCCTCTTGCCCATCAAGGTAAGGTGGAGGTTCTTCCCTGCCCAAGAAGGGACCCTTCAGGCAGGACTCAGTTCAGGGAGCTCCCTCCCAGGTCCTGAGCAGGTCTGATCCTGCTGAGGTCCTGAAAGGAGGCAAGCACGGGGCGCTGCGGGGTGTCGAGGCCTGTGAGCACACCACCTTGGCTGTCCGTGGGGCCCAGGAAAGCTTTGTCTGTTTCAACCCAGGTGGTGTCCGGGCCGACCTTGTTCATCTCCCTCCGTGCCATGGTGATCATGCCCTCCCTCTGCATGTCCAATGATAATCTGGAGTTTGCGGCCGTCCAGTGTGGCCAGTGCCAAGTGGAGACCATCCAGCTTCACAATCAGCTGCAGGTCACGTGCGAATGGTTTGCCACCAGCAGTGAGCAAATGAAGAAGGTAGTGATGCCCTTCCCTCTCCTTGTCCTTCAGCCTCTGTAGGGAGAAGCGAGAGCACCCCCATATTGTGCTTTGAGCAGCTTTCCACTGCTGCTCCCCTGAGCTTCTTCCGTGGTTGTGGCCGGGTTCTCTTGAGCCACGTAGCACTCGGGCCCAGCTGAGGAGACTGCCCTGGACACCAAGAGCTGAACTAATTCCACCACTCCTGGTCTGGCTTCAGGCCTGTCCCAGCTGTTTAAGAAGGCACACCAATAAAGCAAAATAGGCTGCTTACATAAAGCGAAGCGTGGGGTGCATGCTCGGCCTGTCACAGACTGGCAGCTGGGACTATTGTCAAGGCCAGAAGTTGATGGGAAGCCCAAGCACCGCTTTTGCAAAGGGAAGATGGGAAGGCTGAGGTTTGTGGACCTCCTGAGGCCCTTGCCTCACTTCCACCTTCCGAGCAGGGAAGGCCTTCCTCTTTCCTCGAAGGCAGCACCCTCCAGGCTGTGCCGCACAGCACTCTCCCTGAACCACCAAGAGTCATTTGATCGCCTTTTCCATTAATGTTGGCAGGCAGGCCTCGTGGTCCTGCAGCGTCCAGCTGATAGCCCTGTTTCACAGCAACTAGAGGCCTTTTCTCAATGGCTGAGAAAATCCCGGGGTTAGCCAGTGCCTTTGTGGTTTCTTGTAAGTGCAGGTGGACAAGGGCATGCCGATGACCCTGCGTCGGAAGATGCGCCAAGAATTAAGAGCGAAGCCCCATGTGTTTGAGATGATACCCCCCTATGGGATCCTGGCTCCTGGAGAGAGGCTCAATGTGCAGGTCAAATTTGCACCCAGAGAAGAGGTAGGCAGCCGGAGGCTGGTGGCCTTACGGCCTCTTCCACAGTACACGGGAGCCCTCTAGTGCCTGCATAAAGGAGATAGAGGGGGGGAGCACAGCCGAATGGCTCGTGTGAGGGTAGTGTTTATGAATGAAACCATTCTAGGTGCTGGGAGACAGGCCAGGCTATCGTCATCCTTGGACCACACAGGAAATACCCCTGATTTGATCAGTAGGAAGTATGTATGTTGAAGATCAGGAGCTAAGGTCCTAAAGATGCTCAGAAGAGCAGGGCCCCGAGTTCTTAAGGGTCAAAAACAGAAAGAGATTTCACACTGGGCAAACAGAGGGCTTACTAACTTCAGTACAACCTGGAGGAAAAACAGGGAGGTGCTAAAGCAGGTTTTGGCCCCTTGATACCAGGCCAGGCTGCAGCTGACAAATTCGGGAAGGGATTGAGAGAGCTCTCAAAAGCTTTGTCTGAGAAGCGAGAGGGCCCTCCGGGTGCAGAGATTGGGTAAGAATTCTCAGATCCGTGAGGACGGTGGAGAGGAGAGGCAGTGGGTGAATTAGAGCGACTGTGGCCTGATGTTTGCTCAGGGCTGGTGGTCTAATGAAAATTAGGGCGGGAGCAAGTGCTTCTCTTCCTGTGTAATAAAACAAACCCCTCCGGTGTTTGAAATTCCTTAGAAGTTCTACCGCAACTACCTGATCCTGAGTATCTCCCAGAGCACCCACCAGTTGCTGCTGAACGTCTCTGGGCAGGGGCTGGAGCCGCGGCTAGAGTTCAACCCCTCCGTCCTGGAACTCGGGCCCCTCCTGCCTTACGCCGCTGGGGATGAGGCCGAAGTGGTGGTGAAGAACCCCTGCAGCTTCCCCATCGAGTTCTACTCCTTGGAGTTTGACCAGCAGTACCTGCTGGAAGAACGGGTAAGCGGTGTGTGTGTGTGTGTGTGTGTGTGTGAGCCAAAGGAATGAGACTCGTCTTAGGGATTGACTGACTGAGCTGGGATGGGATGGGATGGGAGGGTGTGGGAGGCCCTCTGGACGTTGCTGGGCTCTTGCTGGGATCAGTCCCAGTCAGGTAGACCCAGCCCTGTTCCTCAGAAAACCAAAGCAGTCATTCTGCTCATCTCGCAGCCACCATTTTGTGAATGGCTTTATCAGAGAACTCCGGAGTCCGTGTTTGCAGGGATGCAGAGAAGATAGCAATCTGTCGAGCGTCCATCTGACTTAGAGCAGCCTTTGCCACTGGGCGCCCTGTGCCACTCTGATCAGATTCTGCTAGCGTGGGGATTTAGCACACACTGACTTGGCCTTCCCGTTCAGGGGAGTGCCTACGATGAGCCTGCTTTCTCTCTGAGCTTGAATGGCCGGCCTCATCCGTCAGGCACGCAGGCAAGGCCTGGGTTTGCCCTCCGGGGACCCATCACAAAGCCAAGCCTGCTGAATGCCAAGGCAGGCATGTGAGGGGAATCCTCGGCCATGAAAAAGGGGTCCCCATTCTCCTGGCAGAGGGAGTCCCTGTCCTGGAAAGGCAGCAAGTGCGTCGTTGGGCGTCCTGGGCGCAAGGGGCCTGAGAGAACGAAGCGGGGGGTGGTGGTGGTGGGGTCAAGGCCCTTCAGGGCTGACAGGGCTGGACTCGGTGGAGCAGGGGCGGCTGGACCACTCTTTGTGCTGCCCTTGCTTTCAGATGTTGCGCCTGTTGAAGGGCTACGACACCCATAACATCCTCCTGTTGCCCCCTCGCATTCCTGGAGAGAAGCTTCCTCCCGAGGTGCTGGAATATTATGAGGAACAGAAAAAGATTCAGGGCGATTTGGAGGGAGGGCCTCTGGATAATGGTGAGTGGGAAGAGGTGGAGGAAGAAGGCTCTGGGGAGAGAGAGGAAGGAATGGGTCTGGTTTCCAGTTAGCCTTTATCTGAAAGAGCCAACTGAAGGAGCTGGCCCCAGAGTGGCAGGCACACAGGCGTCTGGCCCCTTTGAGGATCCCATGGGGTGCCCTGGGAGCTTGCACCCGGCGAGGGCCCCAAGGGCCCCGGCAGCTACCTGGAGGGCGACGCCTTCCTTGCTGGGTGGCTCACCCTGTCGTCAGGATGGGATGCAGAGGATTTCTGGAACTAAATGGCAGGCAGTTACATTCCCTTTCCTTCCTAAAAGTCCTTGTGCACGCTGTGTTTCTCTTTCCCCGCTTCCTGCCTAGAAGAAGAGGAGAACGCCCATCTCTCTGAGCACGGCATAAAGCTTCTCCCTTCCAGTACAGTGCAGACCCGATCCGTGGGCGGGGTCTCCCTTCTTCCTTCGGTTTCGCTCTATGATGAGAACCGCACTCTCAGGGTGGACTCCAGGCTGGACCAGGAGGAAGAAGAGGAGGAGGAGGAGGGTGTGGACCAAGGGCAAGGACAAGGTGAATGGAAGCCCCATGGTCTGGAGGTTCCTGCCAGGGTGGCTGGTGCTCAGGAGGATGCTTGGATGGCCGGGCAGGTGTGGGTGTGGGTGTGTGGCAGGGGCAGGGTGGGGCTCCCTCTCCCTGGCTTTCTCCTCTCCCTCTGTGGTTGCAATGAGTTGGAGGGCAGTCAAGCTCCTTGGACATCTCGTGCCTGTGGAGCAACCAACCTCTTAGGTGAGATCGCCAGGCGCCAGGCAGCCGAAGAAGTGGGGCTCCTACTCCTCTCTCTTCCAATCCCCCTGGTGGAGAGGGGCGGAGGCCCACCTGCCGGCCAGTCTCCCTCCTGCCAGACGGGGCCCTATGCGGCCTCTGCCGTCCCTTTCTTCTGCCTTCCTCTGGGTTTCATGGAGGGTCTTTGGGGTTGCCCCCAGAGAAGCCCACCGGGCCCCCCCGGTTTCTTTCCAGCAGGGAGTCAGCAAAGCTTTGGCAAGCACCGGGAGGCCGTCGGAGAGCTCGACAACAATCCGGTCTCAAAAGCCATCGCGCGTCACCTTGGCATCGACATCTCCCCAGAAGGACGGGCAGCCAGGAACCGCCGAGGCATTGCGATCATAGTTCATGGCGCTCCCCTGACAGGTACGGAGGCTCCTTGCCCAGGCAGCCGCCATTGCAAGAGAAAGAGCACAGGGAGGGTCCCTCTCCTAGAAGGGCGAGACGTGCTGCCTGTGGGGTGGCCGGCAGCCCCTGGTGGCTGCTGAGGACCAGCCGTGTTCCCTCCCGCAGGAAAGACCGGTGCTGCCATCACCCTGGCCAGGCACTACAGCGCCGCTTGCCTGTCCATTGACTCTGTGGTCCTGGAAGCCATTTCGGAGGGGAGCAGCTCGGCAGGCCTTCGCGCCCGGGAGCTCTGCCTTCGCGCTGCCATCGAGCAGGCCCAGCGGGAGAACGAAGAGGGCGGTAAGAGACCCGGGGGGGGGGCCCTGGGGGCTGCCCTTCCCTTTTCTGGCTCCTTGGGCCTCCCTTGCTGCCTGGAGGCAGCCTGGCTCTCTGCTTGCTCTCCAGACCCTGGCCGCTCTCTGGGCACCCACCATGCCTTCCCGCCAGCCTGCCTGTCCTTCCCTCTGCTCCCCTCCCTCGCAGAGAGTGGCCGGAGGCTTCATTGGGAGCTGCAGTCCACCAAAGCTGGTGCCAAGCAGGTATCGGTGGCCTGCAGGGCGCCCCAACCCTGCTGTTCCTGTTTGCTGCCATGGAGTAGCAGCTGGCCCGGTGAGGTTTTTGGGGCAAGGTCTCCTCTTCTGAGGCAGGCGGATTCCAGGCCTTCTGGGGTCTGGAAAGCTCCCTGGGATACGCTACGATTCAAGTAGCTCGGAGGTGCCGTTTGCTTCTGGCTCTCCTCCGTCCTTTGCTCTTTCACGGAGGGCTCTTCCTTCCTTCCTTCCTTTCCTGGTGCAGGACCAGAAGGGCAGCCAGCCCTGTCTTTGGGCACCAGGCTGAGTGGTGAGGCTCTGGCCAAGCACACCTCCGATGGCAGCCAGCAGAGTTCGGAGTCCAAGATGGGGCCCGTCTCCACCCTCTCCAGGGGCTACCGGGGGAGCACCGCAGCCACGGCCAAGGGCAAATCTGAGGGCCACACCTCCCAGAGGCAGCAACAGCACCAGCTGTCTGACCTGCCTGGATCCCAGGCAAGAGAGAGAGAGAGAGAGGGAGAACACCGGTGGGAGTGGGGGTGGGGGGGAGGCACGGTGAGATCCCAGCGGGGAGGCAGGGGCTGCTCAAGAACCTTTCAAGACGGGAGAGCAGGAGAGCACAGGGGCCCCAAGAGGGACTCCACCACCATCCGGAGGCACAAGAAGCCCTCCGTGTGGAGCGTCAGCCCCAGAGACCCCCATTCCAAGCAGAGGATGGCCATGGGGAGGAGGGGGAATGTTCCTCTCCACCCCTCGGCTCTCCCAAAGGCCCTCCCCTGTGTGTGTGTGCTCAGGAATGGGTGCTCCTGAGGAAGGTGCTGGGGGTTGGAGAAAGAAGTGCTCAGGTGGAGAGGAGGGAGGGGGGCTGCCCCCACAGACAACGCCCCCCCTTCCCAATACACGTGCCCCTTACGTGCAGGTCCCCTCCAGCCCGATTCCCAGCGCTCCCGTCCAGCGGCGTCTCAGCCTCAGTGCCAGCGTGGCGGGAGAATACGGTCTGATGAGCTGCGTGCTGCCCGAGGAGCTCCTGGTGGAGATTCTTTCTGAGAGGATGCAGGTGAGAGAAGCCAGAAGGGGCCGACGGGCATGTCCTTGGGAGCCTTGGAGATTCATTCTTTGGGGGCACCTGAGCCTCGGCCGGCCCTCCTGTTCTCCCCCCCCCCCCCTTTCCCCCCCCCCCCCCCGTTTCCCAGACTGGAGCCTCTTCTCGCCTCCTGCATGAAGGAATGGGGCAGGTGCTCAGAGCCCATTTCCAGCCTCCTCTCCCTGCAGCTGCTGGGTGGGTGAAGGCAGAGGTAGTTGAGCTGGATGAGTGACGCTTGCCTTGACCTGGGGGGGGGTGTCCCTGCTTTTTCTCTCCCCTCCCCGGGAAGCAGCTCAGCGACTGTTACCGCGGCATGGTGTTCGACGGGCTGGAGACCCTGTTTGCCCGCAGCCTGGTGTCGGCTCTTCTCTGCCTTCTCAAGGCCATCAACAACCGGCGCTACATCTACTTTGTGAACTTGTCCCAGGACTTTGCTGCCATGAAGGCCAGAGAGAAAAGCAAGCAGGAGGAGGCAGGTAACATGGGGGCAGGTTGGGGGGGCTGTGGAGGGGAGGAGAGTCCTTGCTCACACACACACACACACACACACACAGAGAAAGTGCTCCTCGTTGCTTTCCTCTTCACCTTGGTCCATGGGGTGGGGCTAGGACCCCACCAAATGGGTGCCCCTTGGTGCCAACTTTGTGCCTCCCCCCCGCCCCCCCCGGTCCTCTGGGCATTCAGTTCTCCGTTTTTGCACAAAAGCCACAGAGAGAGGGAGGGCTGAGGCGGCAGGGGAGGGTGTCCTGGATGTGGCCCCAGGTGGGGCTCAAGTCTCTGTTTCCCTCCTCGGTTGGCGTGGCAGAGCGAGAGCAGCAGGAAGCCCTGGCGCGGGAGAAGGCCCGTCTCCAGGAGATGGACGAAGAGGAGTACGACGCCCTCACAGAAGACCAGAGAGTCCGGTTTGACAGCGAGCTGCTCCAGGCGGTCCGCGACCGGAAGCAGAGGTCAGGGAGCAGCTCCTCGGAAGGCTTTTGTGTGTGTGTGTGTGGGGGGGGGGTTGGCCGGCTTGGCCCCTTGCCCTTGCTGACCATGTCCTGTCCTGTGGGGTGGTGTCGACGCAGCCTCAGGGTTGGAAAGAAGGGAGCGACGTGTTGCGGGTGTTCTGCCCATTCCTTCGTCCCCCTTGAGGAATTCCAGGGGTGCCCTGTTTTGAAGGGAGCAAGAGAAACTGGCTCGGGAGCTGGAAGAGAAGAAGCACCAGCAGGAACTGGAGCGCTTGCGAGAGGAAGAAGAGATGAAGAAGAAGTCCAAGCGGTACAAGAGGGAGGTGGCCAAAGAGAAGGAGGAGCCTGCGGGGAAGAAGGGCCCGCCGGCCAAGCAGGTCCGTGGCCCCCCCCAACCCCAAGCCCCCACCCCGGCTTTAAGCCAGCCGGGGACCTCAGGATGGATCTAGAACGCCAGGGAGTCTCCCCATGGGTGGGTGGGAAAGGCCAGGGTGGCTGTCGGAGGGCCCCGGCAACATGGGCAGCCACGGAAGCCTGTGGTTGGCGAGCTGGTCTTCTCTTCTGAGTCCTGGAGGTTGTCTTCCCTCGGGCAAGGTGGCAGTGGTTCACACGCACCCATCCAGCTTCAGGGCTGACCGCAGGATCCCTTTCTTTGCCTGGGCCCTCTCCTTCCAGAACGCTCCCGTGCCTGCCTTCAAGTCGGATGGGAAGCTGAATGAAGGCGTTGAGCGCAAGACGTCAGCCAAGGAGCGTCTCGAAGTGGGTACCAACGAGAAGGACGAGAAGAAGAAGAAGAATAGAACAGCCCTGCAGAATGGGCAGCCTGGGGCCGCCCCCGCCCCGGCCCCGGCCCCAGAAGAAGAGGAGGCCGAGAAGGAAGCGATGAGCGAGGCCGAGAAGGCCCTGGCGCAGCGGTTCAAGCTCTACGAGGCCAGCCAGAAGGAGATCCCTCAAGTCCTGATGTTCTGGGACAGAGTCCAGCGGGTCCAGCTGCAGCCCCCCGGGTCGGAGGAGAAGCCGGAGGAGGTGGAGGACCAGCGGCAGGCTCCCTCGGGCCGCAAAGGAAGGAAGGACAGGGAGCGGCAGGAGCGGCTGGAGAAGGAGCGAGCGGAGAAGGAGCGGCTGGAGAAAGAGAAGGCGGAGCGGGAGCGCCTGGAGCGCCTGAAGGCCCTGGAAGAGAACCGGGCGGCCGAGCAGGAGGGGGGAGGCCGGGAAGGCATAGAGAAGGACCTTGGGGTCCCCTACCTGGAGTTCCAGGTGCTCAGTTCGGAGGACGCCAGTGGCAAGAGGATCCTGGAGAGCGGGAAGCTGCCGGACGTCGTCCAGGTGGGGAGCCCCTTGGCATTTGCACAGAGCCCGGGGCAGGCTTGGCCTCCTGGGCTCCAGGGAGGGGGCTTTGCTCTTGGGGAGTCCGAGCAGCCCGAGGAGCGCCATGGGTCACCAAGGAGGACCGGGTGCTGCAAATCAGTCGGAAGCCCTGGGATCGGCTTCCTGTGGTTCCCCAACGGAATGCGAGTAGCGGTGTGGTCTTGTTCTCTCTTTCTTTCCAAGGGCATTCATATCCCTTTGCCTCTCGCCGCAGATCCTGAATGGATTGGGTCTGGGCCCTTCGGGGCCACCCATCCCCCCAACAGCTTTTTTCTCCGTGATCCCGTACCCAGAGAAGCGGTCGGCCCCAGTCCCGGGAGAGGCTCTTAAGCACTTCACTTTCATTGTTCCCGAAGAACTGAATCCGGAGGAAGAGAAGAAGGAGAGCGAGGCCGTGGGAGAGGCCACGGCCATCATCCCTGCGGCCAAGGTAGAGCCCTCCTCCGGGACCGGACGGGCAGGGCAGGGCAGGAATGGGCGTCTTGCCGTTTTGATGGACTCCTTAAAGAGCAGACAGTTGTGTATTTTTGATATATATTGTGATACATATTAAGATTTTAAAAAGGACCAAGGCACCCCATGGTTTGGGTTGCAGCTTTAACCTGAGGCTCCCTCATGCCAGAAGCAGGGAGGCAGAGCTGCCTGCTCAAGGTGGGAGAGGAGCCCCTCACCTGGACCAGGAGAACCTGCTTCTTGTTCAGGACTTGTGGGCACAGAGCATGGGCACTCCTGCCCACGAACAAAAGGTGCAATAAAGGTGCCCTCCGGAGGGCTGGATTGGATGATGCGCCCACGTGTGCCATTCCCTGGATCGCTTGCCATGCACACCGGGGTCTCTCTGACCCTCCTTCCTTCCTGTTTTTCTCCGTGGGACTACAGGAGGAACAGATCACCCCAACGCGTGGCAGATCCCGGAGAGAAAAGGCTGAGCCAGCTCGGGAGACACCCAAGGAGAAGAAGGGCGCCATGCGTGGCAAGAAGGCCGCTCCCCCAAGTCCAGGCACCATGACCACCCTGTCTGAGCTTGATCAGGGGGGGCTCGCTGGGGAATCCTCCAGTGAGAAACTGCAGAGGTGAGAAGCCAAAAAGCCCTCCCTCCCTCCCTCCCCCCCAGGGAAAAAGACCTTCTGCTCGAGGGGGAGGGCCCCAGGCCTGGGATCCCACTGAGCTGTTCCTTGGGGTGCATCTCAGGGAGGGGGGGGTCCTGCCTGTGGCTGGCCAAGCAAGGAGGGTCCTGAAACCTGCTCTGCCCCAAAGGGGCCAGAGGCTCAGCATGAAGCGCACCCTGCTCTGAAGGCGGGCACTCTACTTAATACCAGATGGCCAGGATCCTGCTCATGTACAAGCGGCCACTCCCATTCCTGCTCAGTCTCCAGCAGTGGCAGTTTCTTGTGGCCATTTATGCAACTGCGCTTCACGCTGCTCTGATTCCACAGGAGGATTCCTGTCAATAATACGGGAGACCTGAATTCTTTGGCAAGACCCTTTTGCCTTTTCACGGCTTCTGTGTGAGTGGGTGTCGAAGTGTTTTTAAACTAGCTGTTTTCATCATGGTTCTGTTTAATTGCTTCTTGGTGTGATGTGCTTTTAATTGTGTGTTTGGTTGTCCCATTTTTCAATCCGTTGTGAGCTGCCTTGTGTCCCTATGAAGGAGAAAGGCAGCCAAAAAAGTTCTAAATAAATAAGCAAATATAAATAAATAGACAAATAAGCACCTATGCGTAGAAGTCCTCTCCTGTCAGTGCTTTGAAGGAGACTCTTTGTGCTTCGCACCCCACAGGTTGAGCACCTTCCGCTGGACTGTCCCGGCTAACGGAGAGGTGACCATGCACCTCCATTTCTCCTCCACCACCACCGGTCTGTTTGATCAAGTCCTGAATTTTGAGATCCTGGGAACCCGGCGGCAGTATCAGGTCTACTGCAGGGGCACCTGCACCTACCCGGGCATCTGCCAGGATCCCACGTGAGTGCCCAGAAAAAGCATGTGTGGGGGGGCTGAGGGGGGTCTTCTTGCCGAGGATCCAGAGCCAGCCTGAAAGATACACATGCACCTCGGGGGTTTCCCTTGGGAAGGAAGGCTTTGCAGGCCAGGGAAAGACGTGTCCAAGGCTGAGGCCACTGGCTGAGATGGAGGAAGACATGGTTGCTCCCCAAATACCTTTTGGGGGGAGCCCCTGACCTTGACCCAAGGCTGTTCTAGAGTACGTTTGTTCTCCATCGAGGGCAAGGGTTCCCAGCCTTTGATGTTCTTGGACTGAAGCTCCCAGAAGCCTTCACCACGCACAAGCTGGCCGGGGCTTCTGAGAGTGGTAGTCCAAGAACACCTGGGTGACCCAAGGCTGGGACCCCCTGGTCTAGGGGGGAAAGAGATTTGGTCTTCCTCTCCGACAGGAAGGCAGCAGTGGTCTTGGCAAGGGATGTTTTCTGAGTCCCCTCCGGTTTGGCTTCAGCCTTCACCCAAAGCTGAGCTCACTCTCAGAGTCTTCCCTTTTCCATTTTGCTCTGTAGCCCTTCTGCTTTGGACCTCAAATTTATCTTCACATTCTCTTCAATTTGTTTCTTCCCCTGTGCTTTTAGACTTGAAAACATAGACAGATAGACAGACACACACACACACAGAGCGAGAGAGCAAGCAAATAAACACCTCCCCCTTCCCCAATCCCAATCCTGGTGCCAGCAGTGGAGGGCGGGTGGAATCTGTGTTTCAGCCACAGAGAAAAATGAAACCAGAGAAAGAGATGCCTTCAGATTCCCGGAGGCTCTTGCAGTTCTCCAGGGAGAAAAGGGCTGTGCTCTTCCAGAGCGCTCCTGGAGGAATCAGGAGGCCAGGAAAACCTCCCCCCCCCCCAAATCGGGTGGCCAGGGGAGGCCAGTGAAGGAGACACTCGGCACCAGGCTGGCTCGGTCTGCCCTGAGGACCCAGCTCACGAAGCCCCCTCCGCAGCCTCCCCCGCCTGGCTGTACCTGCCCTGTTGGCTGAGGAGGAGCCGAAAGGATTGCAGGGCAGTGACTTGGAGCTCCAGGACAAGGGTTTTGCCTCCTGGGACTTTCTCCCGCGGCTCCTTGTGCATCTCTGGTTCTCTGCTGCAGGGTCGTATTCCCTCACCGCAAGAAGAGCATTAAGCCTGATGAAATTGTCTTCAAGAAGTACATCATGAGCCTGGGTGTGTTCCACTTTGGCCCCTTGCTCTGTGGAAAATCCAGGGAAAAGTAAGTGCCTGTTGCCTGACAGGTAAAAGAGGGTGGGGGAGGAGGGACAAAATCCAGAGGCAAAGGTGGGGGAAGATGTTCTCTCCCCCCCCCCATGTGTTGCCTGAACATCATTCCACCGGGAGACCTCTCAAGGACACTGGATGCACAGGAAGGTGCTTGCAGGAAATGAACGGTTGGAACTCACTGCAGACATCCTAACTCCAAGGCTAAGATGCCTTTGCATGACCTGGGAACCTGAATTCCAGGACTGGGCCTTCTAACCTTTGGTCCATGAAAACCTTTTGATGCTAAACTCATCCCCTTGTGGCCCAGCCCTTGCCCAGAAATCCAGCAAAGCCTCCCTTTTTCATGCCAGACTTTTAGCCCGCAGCAGCTGTGGCTGTCACTAATTTTTTGGGGTTTGAAAAATGGTCAGTCTGAGAAAGGTCCTCCCTCTGACTTGGCCTGACCACACACAGCCACGCGTGAGGAGCTCTGTGGTGGCAACAGTCTTGCTCAGCCCTTCCAGCAAGCATGCTCAGCGCGGAGCCCAGGAAGCCTGGCCTCAGCCAGAGTGGGTGTGGGTGCGGGTGCAGGTGGGAGGAGAGCAGGGGTGCCTCTCTCTGGCAGAGGGTTGCTCTCTCTCGCCCGGTCATTCCCTGGCCGCGCTGGCCTCTTCCCATCCCAGGTACAAGGCTGCCCGTTCCCCCAACCACTTCGAGCGGATAACCATCTTGAATGACTCTCCTTTGGAAGCAGAAGTCCATTTCTTCTTCCAGCACGATTCCAAGGCGATCACATACCTCTTGGAGCCCCCCAGCCTGACGCTCAAGCCCAATGAGAAACAGGTGATGGCCGTGGGAGGGGATGGGGACCCGGGGGGGGGACGGGGGGCCTGCCCTTGACAGGCCGGTTGCTGGAAGCCCTGCCCGCCTCCTGACTGCCTGCCTGCCTGCCTTGGCCTCTTAGGTGCTGACCGTCTGGGCCTATCCCACCGCCAGCGGGATATTTGAGGACAGCATCGTCTGCTGCATTAAGGAGAACCCGGAGCCTGTGACCTTCCGGATCTGCTGCCAGGGGGTTCGGCCGGAACTAGAGCTGGATCGCCGACAGCTGCATTTTGAGAAGCTGCTCCTGCACAGGTGGGTGGGGCCTCCGTCCTGTCCTGTCCTGCGCTGCTTGAGCCCTCCCTGCTGGCTTTGGCCTCCTTTTCAGCCTCTCGCATGCATCATCATCACTCTGGCAGGTTTATATGTCCGACACGGGGTGGTTGGGCACGGCACGGCACTTGGTGAGAGCTTTCGGGTTCTGCGGCTCCCCAGCCTGTGGGGGCCAACATGTTTTAGGGCTAACCTTCCGGATTCCATGTGCTCCATGGCAGGCTGTCCCTTTTCTCCCCACTGACATCTTCCCTTTAAATCTGTCATGCTATGAGCCAGTTCCTCCTTCTTGGCTATGAGCCGCTCTCCCTCCCCCCCCCATCCTCTGGTGCCCTCTCCTGCTGTGAGTTGAATTAACAGAGCCTAGGTTGTTGTGATGCTGCCCTTTGCCCAGCTGAGGATCTGGAGGCTAACTGTGGGGCTCCATAAAGCTCAGCTGCGCAGAAGCACCCGAGAGTCCCATGGCAAGCAATTGCTCTCCAGCCACTTCCTCTTGTGAGCTCCAGCCACCTTCCCCTGCCGCCTCCCCCCGTTCAGATTGAAAACATCCAAATTGTTGCCGAGGCCTATGACGTTGCCCTGGACATCAGCTTTCCCAAAGGTAGGTTAGATGCTTCCCAGCCAAGCTGCGAACTCCAGGGACTGCCAGAAGCCATAAAACGTGCTCCGGGATCCTTTTAGCTGCTCCCCTTGGATCTGGCGGGGGTCCTTCCTCACAGAGAGAGAGAGAGAGAGAGATTTCCTTCTGGCTTTCATGGCTGATGGAAATGAAGGTGGAGGGAATGTCATCCTGGCCCTTTGAAGTAGAGGGTTATGCGTAAGACAAAGGAGATTTTTGGAACAGGGACCCTGGCCGTTGCAGCTACTCGTAGGGGATTCTCAAAGGGCCGGGCATGCGATGGTCAGTGGGCCTTCGTGCCGCCTTCTCACCGTTTCTGGCCACTGCAGGTACGAATGGGTCTTTGGAGTTTGGGACCGTTCGGATCATGGATGAAGCCAAGCAGTGTTTGTCCTTGAAGAACAAAGGCAAATACGACATTGGTTACAGGTAAGCTCTGTCTGCTCTCAAGACATCCTCCACTCCGTCCCTTGTTAACGGCCTTGTTTTCACCTGCTGAGGATGCGGCCGGGCAACCTTCCCACCACACCTGAACACACACACATCTTCAGATCATCCTGCGGCTGGCGTCTCTCTTTCCTTTACCGGTCCCTTGGTGAGAGGCAGTCCCGGAGATGTAGAAAAACAACCCAGCTCCTCCTGGTCCCTGGGAGGCCGATGGGTTTTGCTTGGTGCCGGCCTTCACGGAGGGCCGCCAGCTCCATCGGATGCATGCGCGTGGCTTCGTGTGTGGGAGGAGGTGGCAGTGGTTCATCAACCACACGGTCGCAGCATCCTTGAAAACTGGAACCCAGCTTGTGGTGTATCGTCAGTTTGGAACCAACAAGGCCAAGAAAGCACTTTGGCCTTGGTTAAATGTTGACCTTTAAAAAACAAACAGATGTGGCAAAAGTCAGGAGGGCTGCATAGGCTGACCTGGGAAGGGAGAGGAGTGTCGGAATTAAAGAAGTCATTTCCACGGGGTGTTTTTAAACAATGGCAACCCATCTGGCCCCAAAGGGCCGGCCTCTTGCTCGCATCTTATGTGGTTTTGTGTCAGGGTTGTACAGAGACACACTGGAGATGGTGACACAGACTTTGCCTGCAGGCTGCAGGGGCCCTGGACGGTGGAAGCCACTTGATCGGCTGCTTATCAATTTGCACGTAGCCCAAGGCCGCAGCGAGCTTTGCCCATTGGCACATCTTGAACACAGAGGGTCCTGCTTCCACCAAGGAGATTCTGGTCGGGGCCGATTGAAACCTGCCTCCCTCCTTCTTGGAGTGGCATGGCTTTTTAGGCCTTCTGCACGAGGACATGGCTTTTGAGGCAGAGCTATGCTAACATAAAACAAGCTGTCCCAGCAGAGCTTTTTGATCAGATGGTAGGGAGGTCCCTTCACAAAGGGATCCCCTCCCGTGGCTCTCATGGGCTCTAGTGCAGAGGGGCTCCATGGTTTCCCCTCCAGAGGCTTTGGACCCTCTCCCAGGAGACCCAGCCGGTGGGGCTCAGCGCTAGGGATCCTGGGAATTCAAGTCCCAAACTCCCAACCCCCTTTTGGTTGAGAGCTGCCTCTCTAGTGCCTGCCTGCCTGCCGGATCATTTGGGCTGCTCTTGAGGAAATCCCTTTCCTTTCCAGCTTGGGCGTGGAAACCAGTGACCATGGGATGCCCAGTCTGAGCCCCTTCTTCTCCTTCCAGCCCCGAAAGGGGAACCTGGGTCCTAACGAACGCCCTACCCAAGTGCAGATTGTTTTCCGTGCAAAGAAGGAAGTGAGAATTGAGGACAAGCCCATTCTTCAGTGCAATGTAAGATGGCTGGCTGGAAATTCTGAGATGCCCTCAAAGTTGTCTCTCTGTGCGCGCGCGCGTGTCTGGATCCTGTGGCCAGACTTGGCGTGAGAGAGCAAATGTGTTGGTTTTTCACTTATAGCTCTTGTCTTTCTTTGAGAGGATCCGAGCGTCTCACCAGAGGGCTTGGAGCCTCCTGGCTCAGGGAAAACCTTTTCCTCCTTCATGATGAAGAAGAAGGATGCCGTAGAGCGAGTCCCCCTTTCAGCCTCCTCTCTTGGCCCCAATCCAGGTGATTGAGCCCAGCCTCTGCGAAGGCGGGGAGGTCATCGCCACCATCCCCATAAAAGTGTCCGCGCAGTCTGCCTACTCCAAGTACAGCATCATCCCGCCCACCCTCGTCAACTTTGGGCCGCTGCTGAACGGCTCCCGGAAGACCAGTGCCTTCACCATCGAGAACAAGGGCATGCTTGACTTCAAGTTCGGCCTCTTCAAGCAAGTCCGGGATGTCATCATCCAACCCCGGAAGGGGTAAGCGGCCGAGGGCCTTCATCTTCCCCTCTGAGAAAAGAAGGGCACCCGCGGGTGAAAAGAGCCAGGTTTTGTGCTCCGCGGCACTGCCAGGTGGGCTCCTGGGGAACAAAGGAGGTGCCCAGCTCCGCGGGTGGCTTGGTGGGAGAAAGTTCCCCTGGCCGTAAAGGGCAGAGAAGGCCCTTTTCCACTTGGGGAAGAGCTCCCGATGAATCCTGAAGGTAAGCCCTTGCCACAGACGGCCAGTGCAGCCTGAGCTTTAGCTTCTGTGCGTGTGCAGCCCTTTACAGACATGCACTTCCGTGTGAATGGGCACAGGTTTGGAAGCTTGATGGGAGGGAAAAGGAGGGAGGGAAAAGAACCTTTTGGTTCTTCTGGCAAAGATGGACTCTAGGAATCTGCAGCCATGTGTGTGCACGTGTGTGCGTGCGTGTGTCTTCCTTCCTGCAGAAACTCCCACCTAAAGGGCAGAGAAGACCCCTTTCCACTTGGGGAAGAGCTCCTGATGAATCCTGAAGGTGTGTCTGTGTGTGTGTCTTCCTTCCTGCAGAAACTCCCACCTCAAGAGCTCCCGTTCCCGCGAGGCCGACCCGAGCCGGCCCTCCGGTCCCCAGGGCACAGGCAGGCAAAGCAAGCACGCCGAATCTCTGCAGAGGGACGTGAACCTTGTGGCTCAGGTGGGCAGGGCACCTCTTTGGCCCTCTTTGGCCCCCGTGGCCTCAGCCTTGGAGGCTGGGAACTCTCCCTTCGTTTTGATCACCCCACAGCAGCACCGCCCCAACATTGCCTCTGCTCACAGTTGCCAGGATGGCGACTCTTGCTCTCTCTCCATCTTTTCCTCCTCTCACTCCGTGGAAGACACCGGAGGCTTCCCTAGGGTCAAAGTGGGAAACCGCCCTCGGATGGGCCTAGTCAGAAAATCCGTGGCCTTCCTCTGGGTTTTCTATACATTCCTTGGGGCACAGGGTCATGTGAAACCGAGGGCACTGCCTGTAGGAGGGTCTTGCCCGGGGCAGCTTCCCATGGGTTGCCCACTGCGTTTTTCTGCAGCCTCTCAGGGAAGCTGCCCCTACCCGCTGAACCTCCAGGGCTTCCCGGAGAGCTCTCGCGCAGAAGATCACGCCCGGTGGTGGAGCAAGATGGAAGCACGGCTTCGTTCTGGGCCAGCCCAAATGATGGCCAGGTCCTTCTCATCCTCTCTCTGCAGGCTCGCTTCTCCATGGGGATGTTCACCGTGTCCCCCGGATTTGGGACCGTTCCTCCCGGAGGCCACCAAGCCATCACCGTGGAGTGCTTTGCAGACCAGGTTGGGAAGTGTGAGGAATACTTGACCATTGAGATCCTGGACCGAGACCCTGAAGACAACCCCGGGGGCATTCAGTATGCGCTGGTGGCCGAGTCTTGCATCCCAGGTAGGTGGCTGCCCCAGGTAGGCACGCAGTGGGGGGGGGGAAGGGGTGTCCTGGCCATCATCCAGGGGAGTGGGCGCACCTTTCTCCCAGCAAAGAGAGCACACTCTGGTTTCAAGGCTCACTCTCCCTGCCCTTAGAGTAGGGAGAAAGAAGGCGGGGATGCGCCGGCAGGCCTCTGGGTGGCCCCCAGCCCCTCCAGCAAGGACTGCCGACTCCCAGCCGCTTAGCAAGAGGAACAGCAAAACGTTCGGATGCAACGAGACTGCCAAAATGAGGATAGGGGGGGGGGGGGCTGCCAGGCGAGGACTTCTACGCGCGAGTCCCACCCATCGGTTCCACAAGCCAAGACAGTCCCTGGGCTTTGCCTCCTTGGCATCCCACAGTACACTTTCTTGGGGTCAGGCCTTGGCCGGTGAACCGGAGGGTGCTGGGCAGAGGCAGGCCAGGTCCCGTGAGCCCGAGGCCCGCCTGTCCAGATGGCAGCTCAGCTACAAGCAAAGCCTGACGCCTCACCGTCCCCTTCCCCCACCGACAGGCAGCCTGCTGGCTCTAGCGTGCTGGCAGGCGTCCTCCTTATCCATCGCCCTCCCCGGCATCTGAGGCCTGACTGCCCGTGGCAGTGACCGCTGGGCATGTGTGAGCCCTGGGGATCCCTTTGCCCTTTTCGGCAGCCCCATATTCCGGAGGTTGGAAGAGGGGCTGCCCTCCCTGGTGGGGGTTGGGGGTGGAGGACGCTCCCTGTGAAACTTCTGTTGCCAGACGGCAAGGGGCCAGATCCACTTGCCTTTCCTCCTCCTCCCTCTTTGGGGTCTCTCTCTCTCTCTCTCTCAGGCTTTGTGACTGACAACCCCGGGATCATATTCGAGGAGCATCGGATCTGCTGCAGCAGCAGCCTCAGCCAGGTGCTGAAGAGCGACGGCTGCGAGGGCGTGTACGTGGTCGATGAGAACCGGTTCATCTTCAACAACGTCCTGGTCGGGCACCAGGCGGCGGCCCGTTTCAAGATCTGCAACGTCGGCCGAATCCCCTGCGATGTCCTTCTGGCCACAAAGCCCATCTCTGCCAAGGTGAGGGAAAGGTGGGGAGGAATGATCCTGCCTCGTGACTTCTGCCTTGTCCCTGCAAGGGGGAATCCCCGAGCAACCCTGAGGCCCAGCCCCACAGAAAATGCTGGCTGTGGCCCTTCCTGCATCGGCTTCCCACGGAGGGCTTGGGGAGCTACCCGGGTTGTCCTGGAAAGGCTGGCCTCTCTCTCCCCCGAGTTCCTCCAGGCCGATGAAGCCCAAGGTGGCCCTGGCAGTTCAAGGCCGTCCGGCCGACTGGGCACCGAGACAGGAAATGGGGTGGGTGGGTAGAGGCTGCCCTGCGTCCTGCACGGGAGCAAATCTCTGCGCCTGACCGCCTGCGTGGATGTCTCTGCAGACCTCGGTCCGAGCCAGCGACGTCTTTGAGGTGCACCCGGTGCGGATGTCCGTGGCCAGTCATTCACACGCCTTTGCGACGCTCACCTTCTCCCCGCAGAGTCTGCAGAGTTACCAGTGCCTTTTTGAGGTTTCGGTGGATGCCATGCCCAGGTCCTTCAGTCATGGCAGGCAAAGAGGGAGGGAGGGAGGGTGGGAGAGAGAGAGAGCACACCTTTCAGATGGTCTTTTGAGACGGGACACACGGGCCAATGTTTTTCCTTTCTTTCTTTTTCCATTCTTCTTCCTTCCAGTGTGGCTGCCAAATCAAAAAACCTGTCCTTTGAGGTCACGGGAGAGGGCAACCTTCCCCGCATCACCATTGTGCGGCCCGTCCTTCACAATAAGAAAGGGCACCCCCTCCTCCTCTACAGGCGGATCCTCTTGGGCCACACAGAGACCCTCCCCTTGGTCCTCAGGAACAGTGGCACGATACGGGTGCAGGTGGGAGACTGTGTGGGGGGAGAGGTGGGCGTGGGGGGCACTGCCTTGGCATGGGACAGCTGGTGACAGAGAGCGACGTGGTGGTTGAGTGTGGCTTTGGGTGTGTGTATGTGTGTGTGTGTGTGGAGTAGGAATCCTCCAAAGACATGCCCATGCCCGAGTCATCCACAGCAAGGGGGCAGCTGGGACCGAGCGCCATGGGCATCCTGGGTCTGGGGTGGGGGAAGCCACGCGCTTCTTCTCCGGTGGGCCGGTTAGGAGTCCTGCCTTCTCCCTGGTCCAGCCCGAGGCTGCTCTGGGCCAGGAGAGATGCAACGGAGGAAGGGGGGGCCTGGAGTGAGGCAGCTGCTGGGGGAAGCCTTGGATTATCAAGGCTTGGATGATCTCTGCAGGACATCCAGAGGGGAGTGTGGCTCTATCATTCCGTAAGAAGAGAAGTCATGGGTTGACAACACCGTAGGGCTATTGAGCCTTTGGAGGGGCAATGGCTGGGCAAGGAGGCATTTATTTGGCAGGATTCCGAGCTGCCCTCTGGATCAGGCATGCTCTTTTACACACACACCCCTCTCTATAGCTCTACCTGGACATGTCTGACGAGTATGGCGCCTTCAGTCTGAAGCCCAGGCCCACCACCCAGTGCACCTATGTGTCTACTCATAGCGAGGAGGGCGACTCCAGCGAGGGAGGTAAATGCCAGGCCTCTGCTCCAGCCGGGGTGCAGCGTCTCCTGGGTGGGGAGGGGTTTGGGGAATGGGGTGCCGGGCCACCAAAGGTCTCCCCAGCTATATTGGCACTCTCATGCGTGGCTGCAGGAGATCCTGCCGGAGGCTTTCTTGGGCAAAAAGCCTCGGTGCTCCTTGAAAGGAAAACCGCTGGCCACCTTCGTCCATGCTCTGAATGAATGGACTGCTGCTGTGGGCCCCCGATGAGGCTTCCTTTAACACCATAGTTTAAACATTTGCAATTGGCATGAATTCATTTGGTGAATTTAGAATTGTGGCTTTAGACATTTGCTGTGTTAGAAATGTGTACTTTCTATGGGAACTGCTAGAGCCACTCTGGGCAATCAAGAGGAAATGCAGGGAATAAACCGAATAAACCTCCATCGCTGCTGACCTTCCCAGGGCTTCAAAGTGAGGGGCTGTGCAGGGGAAGGGAGTCTTTCGGAACCTCGAATGCCTGCATCTTTCTTTCTCTCCTTGGTGCCTCTGATCAGTCAGGAAACCCCACACCGCCTCTCTGACCCTACGCAGCGGGGAATCGGCCGAGTTTGAGGTGGTTTTCCAACCCAGCCTGGCCCAGCGCCTGGAAGGGCAGATCCGCCTCTCCATTGTGGACAACCAGTACGAGGAGACCAGCATCCAGATGGTAGGGGAGGGTTACCAGGAGGATGTCACCCTCGACCACATCCACAGCTTGGCGGCCGACGGAGAAGGGGAGAGCACAGGAGAGGGTCGGTCTCATATGTCTGGCTAGACCTGGGCGGAGGGGCTGGGGCTGGGGCCGGGAGGGTCCTGGCCTTGCCTGAAACACCCCGTGGGTTTGGGAGGAGATTGGGAAGACTGGAGGGATCCGCTTGGCTGGGAGAGACACAGAGGGAAGGGGGGCATCCATGGCGGGAATCAGAGGGCGGGAAGTCTGGTTCCCTCTTGATCAGAACCTTTTAAGTCAGTGCCATCTCTCTTACCTCTCCCCGTGAGCAGTCCTTCCTGGAGATGTTCCTTCGCCTGTGAGAAAGGTCTGCACCGGTCTTTGGCTCCCTTGTTTTCTTGGGAGGAAGGGTTACCCGGGTTAAATGTGAGCAAGGAGATGGATGGCAAGTCCTGGCAAGAGGGGGAAACAGGACTGCTTACTCACTTAAATATTTGTTTATTTATTTTGTCATTGTTGTTTGTATTCCCATGATGTTACTTTGATGTTGCTCTCTCAGCTGCCCAGAGTAATGGCTCCGACACAAGCTGGGCGGGAGAGAAAGGCCAACCAACCCAGCGACAACCCCCCCCACCACCACCTTTCTCCTTGGCCAGGGGCTTGGCTGGGGCTGTGCGGCCTGGGGAGGGCAGAGCCCATGGAGTCGACAGAACCCCTTCCCTGCCTTTCACACACACCTTCCTCCTTGGCCAGGGGCTTGGCTGGGGCTGCGCGGCCTGGGGAGTCGACAGAACCCCTTCCCTGCCTTTTCTCACAGCCTTCATCGGGAGGGGGGGTGTGACTTTCCTTTTTTTAAAAAAATTGGTTAAAAAAGGAAGTGGCGTATTGAAAGCAAGGCATCTATCTCATACTGCATTAGAATTTTCCCACCTCCATTAAGGAATTTTTAAAAAATAGATGAAAATAGAGGAGGGGGTTTCTCCACCCTCCCGTTGAACGCCACAACCCACCTTGTGTGCCACAGGGTTGCCATCTTGGACAAGCTCCATTTGAGTTCAAACTAGCCCTCTGCAGAGGCTGCACAATGGGATAATGAGGAGTACTTCTGATCGTGCCAAAAAACCAGAAGCTCCCCCCCCGCCGGTGCTGTGCCAGAAAAGAGCATGGCTGCTCTTAAAGGGTCCGGGTGGGTCCATCTAAGTGGAAACGCTTGTGGATAGCTTGGTTTGGTTTAGACCATGCCGTCCCAACCACAGTCCCATCCCCAAGAGAGGTACCTGGCCAGGCCTTTGGGGCAAGAGGGGGCAGCAGCATATAACACGGCCTGCGTCCGCACCAAGGAAGGTCTGAGGGGAAGGAGTGTCTCGGAGCGGCAGCCCTCGGCTTCCCCTTGGCCACGGGCTCAGCGTGCCTTGCCTTGCCTTGCCTGCTCTGTTGCAGCCGCCAGGAGGGACTGCATCCGGTTTGGGGACTGCCACGTCCAGGAGCCCTACCAGGCAACATTCACGATAACCAACCACAGCAAGACGGACGCCGTGAGATTTGAATGGCCGGCTCTGAATCCCTTTCTCTTTTCCCCTCAGGTAGGCCGAGGGGATGCGGCACCTCCTCCCTCTGGCCCTTTGCCCCCTGAGGTCCCTGCGCGGATCCTAAAAGCCCAGTTTTAACACCAAGGGCAGGTGGAAGGCAATGGCTTTGGCTCCCTGTCAGAAGTTTAAAGGGGTAGAACCAGCCCGACGTCTCCTGCTCGGGAGGTCTAGGTCAGGGAAGCCACTTCAGAGAAAGGCTGGCCTCTCTGGGGGAGGGAGCCCCCCCCCCAACAGCATCCCTGCCGAAGAGCTGGCATCCAGAGATTCTGAGCCCAAGCTGTGGGGGGCTGGTTGACCCACAGCAACACCGTCACCTGTGCTCGGAAGCAGTTTGGAAAGGGGCGTAGCTGGCTCAGCACCAGTCACCTGGCCTAACACGAACTGCAGGTCCTGAGCCTGTCAAGGACAGCCCCAGGTAGGGTCAGTTACGGTAGTCTAGCCAAAAGGTATCTAGGAGCAGGATTGTCCATAAGACCGGTTCCCAGGTGGCTTTTCGGCTTGGCTGTCCCCCCACCTCCCGGGATTCTCTGTTTCCCCTGCTTGACGCTCACTGCTCCCACCGCCAGGTTGGCCATCTCCACGCCGGGTGCACCAAGAACATTGTGCTGACCTTAAAGTCTAGCACCCCCATCACCCTCCAAGAACAGCTGCTCAAGTGCAAAGTGTCCAAGATTGCCTTCCAACAGCCTGCCGAGCAGGTGCCCGACTGGGATGACCGGCTGCACACCGTCAAGTGGGTGGAGGTCTCCAGAAGCGCAACAGCCCCTCGCCCAGCCAGGAAGAAGGTAAGCAAGAGGGAAGCGAGGGTGGGCTCAGCCCCCCCCCACCTGCCCCTGGCTCTCCCAGAGGCATCCCTCTGAGCGAGCTCGGGGTCTCCGTCCTGGACGGGGAAACATGGACCCCGAGCTCCAACAGAGCATTTGCTGTGCTGGGGAAACGGCTCAGACCTTGGGAGGCACAACCTCCCTGGGTGACTCCTCCCTGACCCTGGCCCTCCCTCTGCGGAGCTGAGGCAAACGCCAGAGGCCCTGAGGCGGCTGGGGGCGCTCGGGCTGGCTTCTGTAGCAGGAGGCGGTGGTTCTGCCGCTGGGCCCGGAAAGGGTCCTCTGGGAGTTGCCGCCTGGTGTGTTCCTCTCCATGCAGGTGATAGAGACCGACCCGGAACCCGCTCACCTGGTGGTGGAAGACGGTGGCCGAGAGCTGGAGCTCCGGGTGAGCGCCACGGTGGACTACGCCCAGTGCCAGATGGAGGTGGACAGCGTGCACTTCAAGGAGACCCTGCTGTTCCAGACCAGGGTGTTTGCGTGAGTAGCAAAGAGGCAGGATCACGTTCAGAGGCCGCACGTTATCTCTGCGCCCCCTTTTCCTTGGAGACGAACGCTCCGAGGGATGCGCGCTCAGAGGAAACCTCAAACACAGGCGAGTGCCTTTTCCCTCCCCGTGGGGTGAGCCCAGATCCCCCACCCCACCCTATCATGACACTGCAGGGGGACCACGGCTCACTCAGACCTCTCTCTCTGCTCTTGTCATGTGCCATGCCTCCTTGGTTTTTATTTCCCTAAAATATCATTTTAACCCATCAAAAACTCACGTGGTGCCTTGTTTTTAAACAATGGAATGAATAGTCAAAGGGCTGCGAAAGGGCTCTGATGTCACACCTAGTAGCCAATCAGCGCTGTGCACAGCTGGATTCTGAGGCAAACTCTCAAAACAAGTATATTTATTCATTTAAAATATTTTAACCCCACCTTTCTCCTTAAAAGGCCTCAAGGCAGCTTATATCATTAAAGACAATATTTGAAGCTAAAAACAGCAAGTATATAAATACTTAGAAGGATTAAAAAAAAAACCCACACGGAAAAACCGTAAACAAAAGCAACACCAAAAGACACTCAAAGCAGGAAGGCGCAACCACCATCCCTCGAAACGCCCCTCTCTGGCAGGCAGGCAGTAAAAAAAACCCACACTGAAAAACTGTAAACAAAAGCAACACCAAAAGACATTCAAAGCAGGAAGGCGCAACCAGCATCCATCGAAACGCCCCTCTCTGGCAGGCAGGCAGGCAGTCGCTCAGGGAACGTGTTGGCCTGAAGAGAAAGGACAGCAGAGACGAGGCCGGCCTGGCCTCCTGTGGGAGGGAGTTCCGGAGTCTGGGAGCAGCTGCAGAGAAGGAAGCCCCCCCCTCTCATTTCTCTGGAGCTGCATTTGACAGTTCCATCATAAGGGGATGCACTGTGTCCTCCTCTTGTGTAAATGTGAAGGCATCCAACTCTGGTCCAAACAAAGCTTTATTTTAGGGCATTTTCTCTGACTTGTTTTGCCATTAGAGTGGAGCTGTCCAACACAGGGAATGTGCAACTGGAATACACCTGGAAGGTGATGATGGAAGACAGCGGGAGGGCTGTCAACTTCGCCGCTGAGCCCTTGACATCAAGCGCAGAAGGTGCAACAGGTGGGACCTGGGGCGGTGTCTCTCTCGGGGCTTTCTCTGCACCCCTCAACTCCCCTGCCCTTAGGATTTTGAGGGTCCATCTTTCCTGCACGTGTTCTTTTCTCAGACCAGTCCTTTCCGCTGGTGATGTGCCATCAGCCTCTGTCTGTGGTGGGCTGGCCTCTCCCGTCGTCTCTGCCATTTCTGAGCTGTTCACATATTTGCTCTAGATGCTTTGGAGTGTATTGTGGACGAACGCAGCAGCAGCAGCAGCTCAGCCTCCTAGGAGGAAACCGTCAATGCCTCGCTGTAGGGGTGATGGGAAGGAGGAGAGCCTTGCTCCCAACCTAAGCACGGCGTCACCAGCCTGGCCAGCCACCTCCCTGCCCCCCCCACCATCGGAGGGAGGTGGCAGGCCAGCCTGTGTTTGCACCAAGAACCCAGAGGTGGTGCCAGGCAGGCCACGTTTCTCCCAGCAGGCGGCTGTTTGATGTAGGGACCGAAGAGTGGGCTCAGCTGCTCCCGGTATCCCGACTCGCTCTTCCTCTCCTGCAGGGGAGGTTCCCTCGGGGACCTCGGCCACGTCCCTGAAGCCCCATTCCAGCCGGCCCCTGAGCCAGACCGGGAGCGCCCTGGAGAGTTCCTCGTCCTACATGTTCCCGCCGGTCGCTGCCCGGCCTCCCTTCTTCCTGGAGCCCAGCAGTGGCGCCGTCCCTCCAGGGAAGTCCCAGTCGCTCCAGGTGAAGTTCTCTCCCCAGGAAGTGGGAGACTTTGAGGGCCGCCTGCTCTGCAGGTAAGGAGAGAAGGGGCCATTGCGGGGTGCGGGTGCCTCCTGGATCCGGGGGGGGCAGGCTCCCCTTGGCTCAGGGACCTTCTTGCAGCACCCGCCTGCCCCAGGGTGGGTCTTGGGAGACTGCCCCTTCCACGGACAGCCCCTTTCAGTGAGGGGAGGGCCACGCGTGCCCCCCTCAGTCCTCCGTGGGGAGGGGCAGCCTGGCACCCTGCCGCCTCCTGGGCTGCCAGCAGGGAGGTTCGGGAACCAGGCAAGCGGTGAGGCCGGTGGGTGGGGCGAAAACGAAGGGCGACCCACACCCGCGCTCGGCTTGGCTTGTTCCTTCTCAGCGTCCCTAACCTGAAGCCGGGCGAGGAAGGCCCCGTCGTCGCTGTGAAAGGGAAGAGCCTCTTGCCTTATTGCCACTTTGAGCTGGAAGACTCCGATTACATTACAGCAAACAGACGCAGCCCAGACCTGCGAGGGCCTGGCGGGAAGGGCCTGGATCCCAACACCAAAGTGATTGAGTTTTCCTCCGTGGGGGTGCGCGTCCGAAACACCAAGTGAGCCCCGTGCAGAGTCCTTGGATTGGGGCTGGGGAGGGGCTCCCGGCTCGAGTCTGTCGAGGATGGCGTCCCTTTCGGGGGGTGCGTTCCCTGTCTGCCAGCCAAGGGACCAGCATTCTTGCGGGTTAAAGCTGGGAGGGCAGTGGGACTCCTTCCTTACCAGCTGGATCCTGCACAAGTTACGTTATGAGCCATGAGACTCAGAGAATGCAGCCGCCTGTAACAAGTCACTTTTCAGAGTGGGAACCCAGTTATTATTATTATTATTACTGGGGGGGGCAGAATATTTTCTGGATATTCTTAACATGCCTCTTTGCGGAGGTCCCAGGTGCAGTGGAAACCCAGAGTCGTAGAGGTGGAGGGAGGGGGGAGAACCCCAATCCTTCCTCTCCCCCCCCATCCCCCAGCTGTTGTTGTTAAAATGCAACCGGCTGGTTCTGGAAAGGGCATCGAGGGAACATCTGCTGGCAGTGTGTATGTGTGTGCAGTCGCCTGTAACAAGTCACTTTTCAGAGTGGGAACCCAGTTATTATTATTATTATTACTGGGGGGGGCAGAATATTTTCTGGATATTCTTAACATGCCTCTTTGCGGAGGTCCCAGGTGCAGTGGAAACCCAGAGTCGTAGAGGTGGAGGGAGGGGGGAGAACCCCAATCCTTCCTCTCCCCCCCCATCCCCCAGCTGTTGTTGTTAAAATGCAACCGGCTGGTTCTGGAAAGGGCATCGAGGGAACATCTGCTGGCAGTGTGTATGTGTGTGTTCCTGATACCACTTTTTCTTTGTGATGAGTAGGAGCTTTGCCATCATGAACCCCACCAACGCCCCCTACTCATTCCAGTGGGCCTGTGAGCAGCAGCAGCAGCAGAAGGAGGAGGGCCAGGAGCACCCTGCCTTCGTCTGCTGTACGGAGCGGGGCCAGCTCCGGCCGGAGAAAAGGCTGGAGGTGAGCGGGCAGAGGAGGGAGAGGCTGGCCGGAGCCGCAGGCTCTTCTCTCTCCAGGATCTCGAGGGCTTGCGTGGCACGGCTGGGGCTGGAGGCTTGTGCCTCCTTTCCCGTGACCCAGGCTGTGACCGCGAGTCGAGCTGGTGGCGCCCTTGGCCAGGGCGGAGGCATCGCTGGGTTTTCACGAGGTGTGAAAGGGCAGCAGATTTAGGTTGTTCCTCATGGTTGGGGCTTGGGCCCTTGTCTCCTTGGTCTGCCGAAACAAGTCAGCCAGCTTACCGTGAACCAGGCTGTGACCCCGAGTTGAGCCGGCGGCGCCCTTGGCCAGGGCGGAGGTATCGCTGGGTTTTCACGAGGTGCAAAAGGGCAGCAGATTTAGGTTGTTCCTCGTGGTTGGGGCTTGGGACCTTGTCTTCTTGGTCTGCCGAAACAAGTCAGCCAGCTTTGGGGCGTGGATACCCTGGGGCGAGTCTGGCTGGGGAGACCCAGCGGCTGCTCAGCCTCGGAGCCCCCGGGGCGCCCAGGGTTGAGTCTACTCGGCCAGGGGCTCTCGGAGGCCTTTCCATCCCCGACCCTGTGTTCTGCTTGCCTTTCCACCTGTAGGTCATCTTTGAATTCATCCCACAGCATGTGGGCATCACAGAATCCTTTTGGACCTTCACCATTCCCGAGGTGGAGCTTTCTGTCCCCTTCCTCCTGGTGGGCCATGCCACTGATCCGAACGTCTCCCTGGACCGATCGCACTTGAATTTCCATGCACTTTTGGTTGGTAAGGAGGACCACGGCTGGCCAGCTGCCCGCAGGGACAGACGCGTGTTTTTCCTTTTGGAAGAGGAGGCCACGTCACGGAGTGCGGCGGGGGCTGCACCTTAGAGGTCTTGGCCCTTTCCAGCCAGGGCGAGAGCACCCTGACCCTCCCTCCCTCCCGAGGAGGCTCCAGGTGGCTGCTGGCCTCCCTGCTGGGAGAACAGGCAGTCGTGTTGTCTGCCCGGGCCATGGGCTGTCCCCATCCCGGGGGGGGGGGGCTCCCTTGGCCTGTTGATGCCATGTTTGTGTGACTGTCACTTCCCACCGAGAGTCCTAACAGGGCTGCTTGGCTCTTCCACACACACAAGATCACCACTTTTTTTCCCTTGTGTTCTTAGCCAGGCCAAAAGGGGAGAGGGCAGAAACAGTGGCCCAGAAAGTCAAAGGGGAGGGTCCAGCAGGGCTCATGGGGCAGCCAGGATGGCCACCGACCCGGCAGCTCTGGACACCTGCTGGGCTGGTGGACCCGGAAGTACCGGGAAATCTACTGCTTGGGCTCCGCAGGCAGAGGAGGTTTGGGCAGGAGGCGAAGGGGGCAAAGCAGACGGATGCGGGTGCCCTGGTGGACCTCTGAGCCACCTTGCAATGCTGTAGGGCTGGATCGAAGCCACGGCCACTTGTAGCTCAGCTCTTGGGGTTTGGCCCCGGCTTCCTTGTGGGCACAGCTAGGCCTCCTACTTGGTGTGTGTGGGGGTGCCTTGTTGGGACCCAGCTGGTGTTCTCCGAGGAGGCTTTGGCTTCCCACTTCTCTCCGCATTTCTCTCTTGTTTGGTCTTAGGGGGCAAAACAGAAGAGAATTTGTGGGAAAATCTCTCTGGAAAGCATACCTGACGTAAGACCTTCCCTCTCTCTCTCTCTCTCTCAGGACATGAGGCTCGTGACGTTTTTGAGATTATCAACAGTGAGAAGGAGGCCTACAGTTTTTCTTTCCGAGACAGTTCCCGTTTTTCAGAGGGGTGGACCAACAGCCTGAGACTGGAGCCCATGGAAGGCTCAGTCCCCCCTCATTCCAGGTAACGAAGGCCAAGCACGCTCAGCCTTGGGATCAAGCATCCAACAATACGCCCACTTTTCCAGAGTTTTCCCCACAGAGGTGCTGATTGTTTGAAAACACATTTTGCCTGAAAGGGTCTTGTTCCCTAGAGCCCTTGACAGCATCAGCAGAGAGATTCTTGGGGGGGGGCATCCATTTTTCCTTGTTTACATTCTGCATTGCACGGAGGGAGAAGTGCTGGCTACCTGATTCTGATCGTGTTTGCTCTCTCCCCTCTCCATCGTAGGTCTGTGCAGACCCCTTTCTCCCAAAAGTCCCACAGGGATCAAACCTCAGAAAATGTTGAGACTACCTGGTGCCTACCAGGATGCACTTGGGGCACCAGTGCCGAGTTTTCTCAGTCCTGTGAGACCCAACCAACCAGCGTGTTTTCTCCCCAGGCTTCCTGTCACCGTCTACTGCAAGCCAACCCTGGAAGGGGAAATCAACTTCAACTTGGTCTGCGACGTCAAGAGGAAGAGCCAGCCCCTCTGCTTGAACGTCAAAGCCACCGGCCACACCCTGGACGTCTCTGTGAGGTGCGAGCAAAGCAATGGCTCGGTGACGGAGTTGAGTCCGGGCCAGCCAAACCAGGTGCACTTCCGAGAGGTGAGAGAGGCGGAGGGATGCATGGCCCTGGCCGGGGCTGGGAGGGTGGCCCCCATGGTGTCGGCCCCGGGTGGCACTCACGCAGCGCTCCTCCTCCTCCTCCTCCTCTCTGCTTTGGACAGATGCAAGTGAACGATTATGCCCAGTGTCGCTTCTATATTCTGAACACCGGCAAGTTCAACTGCCCCTTTTCCTGGGAGTTCCACAACACCAAAGCCGTGCAGCGCTATTTTGTCATCTCTCCAAACAAGGGGGTGGTGGAACCAGGGGAGCGGGTGGAGGCCACGCTGTCCTTCCACCCACTGAAGATGTGCAGCTTAAAAGGTGCTGAGCTCCAACTGCAGGTAAGCACAGAGGTTGGCCGCGTCTTTGTCTTACTCTTGCCCACTGTGTTCTATACGGATTGTGGTGTCATCCAGGCCATTTTTGTGTGTGTGGTGCCCCATTCTGGGTCTCTACCTCTTTACCTATGATTTCAAAATCTTCATAATCTGTTACACCAGATGGAATAACTCAGCTGTGGTGGCGGCAGCATAAGAGGCCACAACTCCTTCCCGCAGCCTAACAACAGCTGCCAGCGAGCAGAAAATCACGACACTCGTGCCAGAGAAAGGCCCAGAAGCAGAGGAGTGATGCGGGGCAGCCATGGGCTGGTGGCTCTCCGCCGGTCTGACCGAGCCGCCTCTTCCTGTGCTTGCAGATCATCCAGGGCCCCACGTTCACTTGCGCCCTTCGAGGCTCGGTCTCGGCCCCCAGCCTCCACTTCTCTTTCACCCAAGTGGACTTTGGGAGCAGCTTCATCTATCAGGCTGGGATGCCAATCCCAAGACGAACTCTCACTGTCACAAATAAGGATGACAAGGAGACCAGGTAGGTTCGGAGCCCGGCCAGGGGCCAGCCTGGCAGTCACAGACGCCCCAGCAGAAACCCAGGGACGCCTTCAGAAGGACGGCGAGGGTCAGGGTTAGGACCCTGGGTGTGATGGGAAGCTGAGGGAGCCCCCAAGAGAGATGCAGGGGCCTGGAGTCCTTGGGAGAAGAGACCCTTTGGGGAATCCCAAGGGCAGGGCAGGGGAACAAGAGCCGGGGGGCGGGGGTGGTGTGGTGGCGGAGGCGGTGGCACTAAAGGGCGAGGGAGACAAAAGGGCAAAAGCCTGGCCGCCTGCCTCCCCCCAAGTATGCAAAGCTCAGGCTTCCGGGGGGGGAGGGAGCTCATGCAGGAGACACTTTTCTGTGTGGAGCTTGCCTGCAGTGGCTCCTCATCCCCTTTCCCCCCCCCACCTGCAGCAGACAGGCGAGTGGGGGGGGGCAGGGGCTGACGCCTCCTCCTGGCCTCTGTGCTGCAGCCTGGAGTGTTTGTTCACCAACACGCCTCACCTGGAGGTGGGCTTCCGGGCGGAACTGCTGAGCCCCGGAGGGAAGATGGAGATTCCAATCAGCTTCTACCCCCGAGAAGCCGTGTCCTACCATGAGGTCATCCCTTTTGAAATCAGTGGGCTCCTGCGCCGCAACGTTGAGGTCTTTGGGAAGGGCATCGAGATGAAGGTGAGGCCAAGCAAGGCCCAGCCAGGGAGCTGGTCCTCTTGAGAAAAGGGCCCCCAAAGGATACTCCTCTGGGCCGGGGCCTCTCCCACCTGGGGCTCAGGCGTGACCCTCTTTGGGGGGCAGATCAGGACCCAGAATCGCCTTCCCAGATTGCCTCTGACAGCCTTGGACTTACGTGGTTGGAGAGCTGTTTGCTGGACTGAAAATTGGCTGCGTCCTTGCATATTCTTTCATGGGTTTAGGGCTCTGACTGCGGAGCCAGAGGTGGGGAGTTCGAATCCCCGCCCCCGGGCTTCCTTGGCAGGGGCTGGACTGGACAATCCACAGGGTCTCTTCCAGCTCTGCAGCTCTCAAGATGATGATCTGACTATCCGATAGCTCAGTGTGGGTATCATGTCCCTTCTCTTGGCAGGAGATTGGAAGAGAGGCAGACATTGCAGATAAAACCTGCCTTTACAAACCCATTGTTCTAAGAGTCGCCTGTCCTGTCCAGGTGACCAATGCTGGGTTGCTCAGGAAAAGCACTCAAGCCACTCAGGGTGGAAGAGTTTCCCCTCCTTGGAGTTGGGGCCGTGGGGTGGTGGTGGCCTTCCCTTCCTGTCCCTCAGTTTCCATCCAGGGAGGCAAATCACCCATCAGCAAAAGCTCTTTCCCACCCCATTGTTTTCCTTCATCCGCCTGTTTCTCTCCTCCTACGTCCGACCGCATCAAGGCCATTCCGACCTGTGTGTGGCGCGCCTCAGCAACGGCGTGGTGTTGTGCTGTGTCGCGTCTGAGCCCATCTGCAAGGTTCTTCAGTCTTCCATTGCCCTGCTGGGCTCGCCTGGAGATAACAAAGGGTCGAGGCAAAGCTGGGCGGGCCTCATAAGCGCCAGCAAATTCCCATGACCTGGAAAGTCGTTCTGGTTGGCACCTATGCGAGCTGGCATGGTTCAGAATCCATTGAAGACCTCTACCTGTGGAAGAGGATGTGGATTCAGGACCATCCCAGCTGTGGATGAACTCTGGCATCTTCTTCTTCTTCTTCTTCCCTTGGAATGGCTTCCAGTTCAGCGTGGTGCTTCTGGGGGAGGGGTGGCGGCTCAGGAGACCCCGTTTCTCTTCCTCCGCCTGTCGACGGAGGTCCTTCTGACACGGGTGGCAAAGCCCTTCCTTCCACCGGAGCTCCTGCTCTCTCTTCCCCTTCGTTTCCTGCCTCTTTTGGGGGTTGCCGGGCTTCCTCGCTGCCACTTCACTCTTCACTCTGCCACGCTTACAGCGCCCGCTTTTCCTTTGCCTCGCCCGCAGATTGACGTCGTGGAGCCTCGGAACAAAGTGCTGAAATTTGGGGCCGTCCCAGCAGGACACGCGGTGAGGAAGTCGGCCACGATAGCGAACAACAGCGTCGCCTCCGTCACCTTCCACCTCAGCTTCTTATCTTGTGTCCCTCAGCTGCAGGAGGCGAAGGTGAGCCTTCACCCACCCCTGGAGGCCCCGCTCCGCCCCCGTCTGTGCTCCAGCCCTCTGCCTTCCGGGCCTCTCCCGGAGTGTCTCCCAGAAGGGCTTGTCTCGCAACTGGAACCCTTGTCTTCAGAGGCCACTCGTTCTGAGGCCACCTCCAACCAACTGATGGCAGGACCGTGGCTTAAGGACCCTTCAGCCCTCCCCCCAGTGCTTTCCGTGGGTAGAAGCAGGGCTGAGGGGGATGCTGAGCCCAAGAGCCGACAGAGCTGGGCCTCCACCCACCCGAGCAGGGCGCCATCTTGGGGGCTAGGATTGCTCTGCTGGTAGCGTCAATCATGGAAGGCAGCCTTCTGCTGTCTCTCTCTCCCTCCCTCCCTCGGGCAGGTTCTCACCATGAGCCCTTCAAGTGAAGTCACCCTGAGGCCCAAAGGAGGCACCTGCCAGGTGGAGGTCACCTTTGCTCCAAAGAGCCGCATCCTGCCATTCACGGAAGAGGTCCTGCTGGAGTGCCAGGGGCTCGTGCGCTCCCTCTTTGTGGTGCAAGGCTGCAGCCAGGGCATCGAAGTCAGCCTGGATCAGAGCCATGTCCCTTTCGGGGCAGTGGTCCTGCGCAGCCAGGCTTCCCGGCGCATCACCATGCAGAACACCGGAGACATCGGAGTGGGGTAAAGAGAGCTGGGCCAGTGGACGGGGGGGGGGCTGGCCACCACCCTGAGACACACATACACACCCTGGTCTTGTGCTACAAGCGGCTGGTCCTCCTCCTCCTCCTCTTCCTCCCGTGTCCTCTGCCTCCCTGGCCGAAGGGGCTGCTCTCTGATGCCGCCACCTTTTGAGGGTCAAAAGGAAACCCGGAGGATGGCCAGCTGGTCTTCTGCTGCTCCGCTCAAAGGGGAGGCTTCTTTTCGGTAACCCAGACCTCAGGCTGGCCGACACGTGGAGGAAGTGGGTCATTCAAAGCAAATCTGGGGCCTGGGGCCCCTTCCACCACCCCACCCCACCCCACACTCTGGTTCTCCTTCAAAGGTTTAAATGGGACGCCAAGCGCTTCAAGCCCGACTTCTCCATCCGGCCGGTGGAGGGCTATATTTCCCCCGGCATGGACGTCTCCTTCGAAGTGACTTTCCACCCCTGCAAAGAGAGCCAGGACCTCTGCTACGAGAGCCTCCCGTGCCACATCCAAGGCAGGGAGCCCCTCCGGCTCACCCTGAGCGGCAGCTGCGTGGGAGTTCCCCCAGTCAAGGAGGTGATTTGGAGGACAGGGAGGGGTGGAAAGGGTGGCCCCGCATTCCCAGCAAGAGAGCTCCTGTAGACCCTTGGAGCAACGCTTCCTCCGGTCCGTTGGTTGGACCAGCTCGGAATCTGTTAAGCCTGCTGCTTTGTAAGCAGGTGAAACCTGAAAGAGAGGCATCAAGGAACTCCCAGAAAGCGGCTGGCGAGGCTGCCATCCTGCTGCAGGGGGTCCTCTCAGGCAGGTGCCTTCCTCGCACGCTCCCCCCTTGGGCCACCCACCCACCCTCCCTCCCTTCCTCCCTCCCTCCCTGGCCTGCAGAGTCCTTGGCAAGGCTGGCCAGAGACGGGTGGGGGGGGTTTCAGACCAGGATATCTGGAAGGCTCCCACTGGGTACAGGGCTGCCTGATGAGGTTCCTTGGCCAGTGACACAACCGGCTTGGGCCACAGTTCTCTCAGAAGCCAGCCTGGCCATGGGCTGGCATGAGCACAACCTCTGGCTCAGAACCTCTCTGGGAAGCCCCTGTCCAAAGGGGCGGAAGATAAGGCTGGGTCACCAGAGGGCATTTTGTGCAGGCCTGAGGGGGAGGCCCTTCATTCGGGCCGTGTCCCGACACACACTGTCCAGCAGTGCTTTTATTTAAAGAAAGGAAAGGAAAAGGAAAGAGAGCTTACTTTCCGAATGCCCTGGGATGCCCAGGAGAGTGGTCCACGCTCAAGAGGTAGCGTCGTCTGGAAAAGGACTCAGAGGCCCTTTCCTGCAGGTGGTGAACTTCACGTGCCAGGTGCGTGGGAGGCACACACAGACCATCATGCTTTCCAACCGGACTAACCAGCCGTGGACGCTGCGGCCCATCATTGAGGGGGAGCAGTGGAAGGGCCCTGAGTTCATTCGAGTGGATGCCCACCAACAAAACAAGCCGTATGAGATCACCTACCGCCCCCTCACCATGAACGTGGAGAACAAGAAGGACCAGGTATGGCTGCGACCAAAAGAGGCGCCGTGCGCTAGAGAGGGCTTGGTGGTGTGTGTGTGTGTGTGCGTGCGTGTGCATGTGTGCGTGCGTGCATGCGTGTGCGTGAGCCGAAGAGCCGCATCATGCCTGCAGCCGCTCTCCTGGCTCGCTCACTCGCTCATCTCTGAGATGAGAAGGAGACCCTTGTTGGCTGGCCAGGGCTCAGCTTCTTCTGCCTCTCACCCTCTCTCTCAGCCCACTGTGGATCCTGCCCACTTGTCGCCCAGCAGCGTTCCATTCCCAAGACGTAGGGAGCAAGAGGGCGCAGGCGGCAGCTTATCTTCTTAGGTGGGGTCCAGTCTCCCATAGGCTCTCCTGACCGGGTTATCCCCTCTGAACCTGTCTGATATTTATCCCTGGTGTTCATCCTTGTTTTATGGTTTTGAATCTTGCTGTAGGCTGCCTTCAAAGGGATACCTTAAAAGTTGTGTTGTATATCTTTTGAGCTAAAAACGAATGAATGAGCCATTATTCAAATAAATGATAAATTAGTGAAAGTTCTCAGAACAGTCCAGATGGATAAACCACTACATCGAGATCGTTCAAAGCAATCAGAACTCATGGGAGAACAAGAAGGAAGTTCACCCACAACTGCTCAGCACAAGTGCAGCACAAGACAAGGGGTGGGGGGGGGAGAGAGAGAAAGAAAGAGGGGCTTCTAATGTCCCTTCTTGTCTGCAGGGCTCCATCTTCTTCCCACTCCCGGATGGAACAGGGCTTTTGTACCACTTGCAAGGCACCGCAGAACCTCCCAAGTCTGCTGGGAACATAATCCGGGAAGTTCCATGCAAAACGTCCTATACGGAGCTGTTTCCTATTTCCAACTGGCTAAACAAGCCACAAAGGTAAACAGGAGACAACAGGAGACTCCTCCCCACCGTACGGGCCTGTCCATGGAATGGGCTAGTGTGTGTGTGTGTGCGTGCGTGCGCCCATTTTAAGGAAGGTGTAACAGGTAACGACCCCAACGTTCCTCCACCGGGGTTTACCTAATGGTGGAGATGCCGTTGGCAGTCGTGAAGGAGAGAGATTTGTTGATAGCCAGGAGGAAAACAGGGCAAAGGGGCTGTTTGGTATCTGCTGATGATGGGGGTCTTGCTCTGGGTGGCTCCCCCTTCCTTTCCTGCCAGGTTCCGTGTCACAATCGACATGCTGAAACCGGAGAAGCTGGAACTCACTACCACCCTGAAAACCCTGGACTATGTGGAGGTGCCCGCTTCGGCCAAGAAGGATCACAAGCTCACCTTCTTCTCTTACAAGGAAGGCATGTACACGGCCAAGGTGAGGGTCCCCCTCCTGCCCGGGAGTCCCCCTGGCTTGATCGCTGGCCTGGCTGGGGAAGGGAGGCTGCTGCAGGCTCCGCTCTGAGCAGTCCCTTGCCAAGTCTCCTTGACGGGACCACAAAACCCACCCACAGAAGCCTTCCCTGCCCTGCAGGTGACCTTCCGCAACGAAGTGACCCAGGAGTTCTTGTTCTACGTAATCACCTTCAAGGTCATCCCTTGCGGCCCGCTGGGCACCATTGAACTGACCGCCCCGGTCCGTCAAAGCGCCTCCTCCTCTGTGAAGGTCGAAAACCCCCTGCCTCTGCCGGTGACCTTCACCACGGACTGCAAAGTGCCCGACATCAACCTGCCGCCCCAGTTTGTGGTCCCAGCTCATTCCGAGGTAGGAATTTGCCTCTGGGGATTCACCATTCGGGCAGGGAGTCCCTGGGCCAGCCTAGCACTGGCCGCCAGAGCTAAATCCGCGCCCTGCACTCATCCTATGCCATCTGTGCCAGAGTCTCCTTTGTGCGTCCAATAACTCTCCACCCTCTTCCTCCATTTCCTGCTTTTTCTTACTAAAATGCCCGTCTCACCTTCCTCCAGGAGGCTCCTTCCTGCAACAGCCAACACCCCCCTGCGTTCAGTGTTGTTTGTCTTTTCCCCCTTCCTCTTTCATCTTTGTATGCTTCCATCTCTCTTCTGATTGGGGGGGGGGCATCATTTATGTGAGTTGCAAGGGATGCCAAGGCAAGACTCAGTACCTGCAGCAAGTTACTGGCCTCATCCTGCCTGCTCTGCATGACTATCTTTAAGGTAAAGGTAAAGGTTCCCCTTGACAATTTTTGTCCAGTCATGTTCAACTCTAGGGGGCGGTGCTCATCCCCGTTTCCAAGCCATAGAGCCAGAGTTTTGTCCGGGGACAATCTTCCGTGGTCACATGGCCAGTGCGACGTAGACACGGAACGCTGTTACCTTCTCACCGAGGTGGTCCCTATTGATCTACTTGCATTTGCATGCTTTCGAACCGCTAGGTTGGCGGGAGCTGGGACAAGCGACGGGAGCTCCCTCCGTCGCGATTCGGGCAGGGAGTCCCTGCAGCTGAAAAAAGTTACTGGCCTCATCCTGCCTACTCTGCATGACTGTCTTTACAGTGGCTGAAACAAGGCCTGTGATATCTTTACAGTGGCTGAAACAAGGCCTGTGACTCATCACCTCAGCTGGCCTGGGGTGGGGTGGGAGCGCTGAGAGGCTAACGGAGCGGTGGCTCATCAGCCCTAATTTCTCCTCCGTCTGAGCCACTTTCCCCCCTTGAGTTTTGCTATCTTTGTGTGGAACCTCCTTGCCAGGCCCTCTTCTGCTTTTGGACGGAGCCTGTGTGGCCTGCCCACTCTCCCTGCAGTGGGCCACTCTGCTCTCCTTGCTCTCTGCCGGCTGCTGCACAGTCCATAAACCCCCTCCCTCTTTGCCGCTTGCTGGTCCGCTTTGGCCCCCACCTGCCTTGGGTGTATCCCTCTGTCTCAGCACTGGTCCTTGCCGTGGCCCAGGGCACGAGGCTGATAGTCCTCCTGCAGGCTCAGCTGTTTAGGCTACAGCCCTCTCATCCCTGACCACCGACGATGCTCGGTGGGGCTTCTGTGAGTGGAAGTCCAAAGCAGCTGGAGAGCAGGACCTCCCCACCCCCATTCCTGGACTCAGTTGAAGATGTCCTTCGGGGGGGGATAATTGTTCGTCCTTTCACTTCATGCAAAACAGAGGCAGGGAGGGAGGGAGATTCCAGATGCGAAGCCCTACAGTTTTTGTTCCTGCCTCATTTTCTCTCTCCTCTCTCCCCTTTTCCCCAGGGTGTGCTCGCGTTTGATTTCCAGCCTGTGAGACCTGGAGAAAGTGGAGGGCGGCTGGCCCTGAACAGTAATGAGCTGGGATCCTTCCAGTATGACCTGGTCTTGAAAGCTACTCCGGCCCGGCCAGAGAAAACGCTGACCTTCTGCACCGCACTGGGCAGCAGTCAAAGTCTGTTCACAAAGTTCGTCAATTACACCCGCCAGAAGACTGAGTATGCCACCAAGGTGGGTCATGGGGTAAAAAAGTAAAGGTAAAGGTTCCCCTTGACATTTTCCGTTCAGTCGTGTCCGACTCTAGGGGGTGGGGCGCATCCCATTTTCAAGCCCTAGAGCCAGCACTTGTCCAAAGACAGTTTCCGTTGTCACGTGGCCAGTGTGACTAGTGAACGCCATTTTCCCTTCCACTGAGGTGGTACCTATTTATCTCCTCGCATTTGCATGCTTTCAAACTGCTAGGTTGGCGAGAAGCTGGGACAAAGTGATGGGAGCTCACTCCGTTGCATGGATTCGATCTTACGACTGCTGGTCTTCTGACCCTGTAGCACAGGCTTCTGCGGTTTAGCCCACAGCGCCACCACGTCTCTAAGGGTCACGGGGTACCCTCTTTTCAGGAGAGAAGGCGAGAAGGTCTCAGGACTGGCAGGGAGAAGCGAAAGCTTTAGGCTCTGGGCAGAAGCCAAAACCACAGTGTCACCACGTCCCTAAGGGTCATGGGGTACCCTCCTCTTTTCAGGAGAGAAGGCAAGAAGGTCTCAGGACTGGCAGGGAGAAGGGAAAGCTTTAGGCTCTGGGCAGAAGCCAAAGGAATGCTTGGCAGCATGGGGCGGGGGAACTGCAGGCTTACCCCTTCAGAGGCCAGGATGAAGTTCTATTTCGTCACGTTTTATAATAAACAGATGTTGTTTTTTGTTGCAGGAGCTTTCTGTAAATGACTGTTAAGCTTCCTTTTGCATTCTATTGCTTTTGATCCTGCCATTCTGAAAAGAGTTGGATTGTTTCTCATGGGTAATCTTCATCTTCTCCTTCACACAGGCACTATTACTGTGACATTAATTTGTCCCTTTTCAGATTGACTGCTCTGACTTCCATGTGGACAAAGTCATCAATGTGCCTGCAGGATCCCAGGCAGGGAATGAAATCAGCGTGGAAGTGACCTTTGAACCGTGCCAGCTGGGGGAATCGAGGGGCACGCTTACCCTCTCATCCGCCATAGGAGGCGATTACACGTTCCCTCTCATGGGCACATCTGTGCCTCCGAAGCCACAGGGACCGATTCAAATCAAATTTGGCACCAGCACAACCATCCCCTTCAAGAATGTCTTCATGCAGCCCATGGCTTTCACTTACATTGTGGAGAATCCAGCTTTCATAGTCAAGGCCCCCGAGACTATTCGGCCTAAGAAGTCTGCTACCATCACCGTTTCCTTTGAGGGGAACCCCGCTGGCAGTAAGGCCCCCGTGACCAGCAAGCTGGTGGTCTCCTGCCCGCGTGCAGCTGGACTGAGCTCTGGAGTCTCCTGGGTTTATTATTTGAAGGGTGTCTTGCCAGAGAAATGAATGACCCCAGACCGCCCGTTTCAGTTTCGTTTAACTGCAGTCTGCACCGATGGAAGGGTTTGGCTTTCTGTCCTTCATGGTATTCAGACCCCTCCGATTCTCATTCCTTTCCCCCTCCACAGAAGGAGGATTCACCAATGCCTCTGTACTCTTTCTGCTTTGGAAGACCTCCGTCAACATTCTAGACACAATCACGGAGGTCGTACAGGTAAACTCTTTTTTGCCTCCTATGTCAAGGAGAGCAGCACAGAGGCATTGTTGAAACTTACTTGAAGATTTTCGCCCAGGGAGAAATATCCCATTCTGTGAATTAGTACACATTGCAGCCTCAACCAATACCTGGAAATAAGCATGAAGACCTCATAACTTAAGTCCACTGTTCGAAAGTTTTGTCATAGAAGTTTTTATTTTGCAATAAAGTTGTTGAACAAAACAGAGGAGCTACAAATTTTGTTACGGTCTACTCGTAGGTAGGACTGTGGAATCTGATCAGGAAAGAGCCAGATCAGGAGTCAAATATTTGCCAACATTGTCCGGAAGTGGCTTATGGATAAAATGTAGAATATTTATAGTGCCGGACTGTAGACAAAAGGATCGCTGGCTGAGGACGAGGACGGAGCTTCTGACAGCAGGGCTCCGGGACATTTTCCCACCTGCTTCTCTGGTCCCTTCCCCCTTCAGCATTCCCTCAGAGCACCCACTGACACCCACCCCTGGGCCCCACTGTGCTACTCTCCCTCCTTCGAACCCTCTGCATTTTGGTTTGGGATCAAGCCGGCCAGGCAGGCGGGCCCACTCCCCTGCTGCCATTCGGTCCCACCGCTGGCCGGCCACGGTCAGAGGGTGCCAAGGCTGCTCCCGCTCGCTCTCCTTCTGGGCTCGGGCAGGCTAGGAAGGATTTCTCCCCGGGGAAGGCTGCCTCTCCCACGGCCAGGGAGGGCTCGCCCGGCTTTTCTCTGCTTCCCAGCGTGAGCAGCCGAGAGGAAGGAGGAGGAGGAGCGGCCGAGAAGGGCTGTGCCAGAAACTCAGTGCCCAGGTGAGGAGAGGACGTGGCTCCCTCAATAGTCAGAAGCCCACGGAGAGAGAGACATCCCCGGGGCTGCTGAAGCTCTCGGGTGTCTTCCGACGATGAAGATGGCGGTGATGATGACGAATGGTGAAACAAGGCCCCCAAGGGCTACCGGGTAACCCTCCAAAGCACGCAGTCCTGCAAATAAGGCCCCCTTTCCCCACCCCACCCCGGCCCGGGAAGCACGGCCATGGGAAGCCCCTCTCTCTTCTGGGCGCCCCCCCAAAGAACGAGGCCCGAAGAGCGAGGGCGGAACCTTTCGCCGTCGGCCTTCCACCTTCGCGACCCGCGGGGCTCGACGTTTCAATTCCCAGACGGACCAATTCCTTTCTTTCCTCCCCCCCCCGGAAGTCAGGAGTCGCTTCGGAGCCCCGCCCTTCCCCGTGTGGTCTCTGGCCGGGAGGAGAGAGAGAAGCCCCGGAAGGGGCGGGCCGGCCGGCGCCGGCGATCATGTGACCGAGCCCAAGATGGCCGCCGCCTGGTAGCGGAAGGGAAGTGAGCGCGCTAGAGGGACTCCAGACCCTCCGCGCTTGGCCGGGGGGAGACCCTGAGAGCCGTGCGCGGGGCTGCTTCTCTCCGCCGCCGGCACCCCGTTCCCCGCCGGGCGCGATGAACCCGGAGAAGGACTTCTCGCCGCTCACGCCGAGCATCGTGCGCGCTCTCAACGACAAGCTCTACGAGAAGCGGAAGGTGGCGGCGCTGGAGATCGAGAAGTGAGCGGCTGGGGGGCTCCCCAAGCAGCCGCCGCAGCAGCCCCGGCCTCGGTTCCCCCAGAGAGGCCTCGGGGCGCCCCGAGACGGCGGAATCCATTGAAGATTAATTAAAGATTAATCCTGAAGACAGGAGGGCCTGGCGTGCTCTGGTCCATGGGGTCAGGAAGAGTTGGACACAACTTAAACAACTAAACAACAATCCCTTGAAGGGCATGACAGATGTACTACCATTTTGTATCATACAGCTATTTTGTGTAACCTTACCTGTTTTTAGAGATAACATGAAGTAAACAGGGTGTATGGGGTGAATAGCAGATACGCGGGAAGGATGGTTGCAGGACTGTGGAAAAACAGGAAAGCCGCAGAAGGCTGGTGGGGAATGGGTGCAGGGAAGGAGGGCGATGTTAAGGATATAAAAATGTCTGGAATTGGGCTGTGGGGCAGGACACTCCTTGCCTGCATGCAGAGGACTGGTGGCTTTGCTTTGCCGAATAAAGGGACTGAAATTGATCTCCCCTCCTCCGGGTTTTATTGACTATCTAACAGACCGAATGGGGAAACTGGGTGTCCGACTAATGGGACCCTCCACCCCTAAATTACTAGAATGTGACGGGAGTGGAAATTTGGCTAGCAGTAATTCACTATAAGGTGCTCAAAGCCACGTAGAGTGCAAGCAGCATAAAAAAAATGCTTTGGCTTTTTGTCAGTTTGTCAAGATTGAAGTCAGCCTTTTGCATCCTTTCCCCTTCGGAGAACTTAACCTCACCTCCAGAATGTATGTTTCTGCACCAGGGAAGTAGAAATGTGAATATTCCAGTGTAGACATGCAGAGAGGCATGGAGACAGCATACATTGGAAATACCAGGCTGTTCTACTCCTGTCCCAATGTTACTTTTCTCAAAACTTTAAAGAAAAAGGCAGCAAAATATCTACCTGGCTCCTGAGTGCTAAAAAACCTTGGTCAG